CTATGATTGTCATTATCAAAAAACAAATTAACAGTTTCATTGAGCGACTATCTGCTCGCCCTTTGTACACATGCTGCTTGCGCTGTGGGTTGTATATTATTAGTTACTGCACCTGTCTTTGAGCTACAGTGATCTGCAACTTATATGTAGGGACAAATCGAAGATGGTGATGATAATACTACTTGATATGACTTGATGTACTTGTTATAATTAAAACACTTACATTTCTGAATCGCCTCAGAAATCATAGCATTTTTATGAGTTGATTCTAACTTGTGATTATTTGAACTGTGTAAATAAATCTTAACAAATGTCAGTACCTTTTTGTGTCTTTTGATTATTGCTTTTAAAAAAAAAGTGAAAAGGGGTTAAGGTTTTGTTAGCATGGTCTCATTTGCCTCTGGTGGTAGATACCGTAACTACATCTGGCTGCAAAAGAGCATCTTTCTCCATTGACAGACTGATCTCATGAAGTAGCGTGTGTATGCCACGGCGATTCGTATTTCCATTTTTGGCGTGCTATCAAGACGCATAATCGCCTTTCAGCGTGTTTATGAACGCCGTTGACTTAACGTTATATAAATATATGACTTACCTCAACCCCGTCCCTAAACTTAAAGGTGCCATATGGAATAATTGTGGTAAAAATATCCAAAAAATGAGCTACACACATCAAAAGAATGAGAAGAAATAAGTGCAATGATGTCATTAAAAAACTGACAAGTTATAGTGCTGCCGAGATATAACCTATAACCTTACCTCAACCCTGTCCCTAAACTTAACCGTCACTGGGGTTAATGGCATTTATGACTGTTCCCTTACCATCCTAGGTAAAAAAAAGATATGACTTACCTCAACCCCAACCCTAAACTTAACCGTCACTGGGGTTAATGGCATTTATGACTGGAGATTTGACTGCGTGTACAGACAGAGAAGGGTCTGACTGCAGAGCCGCAGTTTTACCCCAGCAGTTTCACCCCAGCAGTTTTACCCCGCGCATGCGCAGTTTCACTATAGCAGTTTTATCCGCTCGTTTTGAATAAGTTATTAAATTGTCTTCACTGCAGTCAGTTCAGCAGTGCTGTTGGACAAATCATTCTTTTATTTAACATATTCATGTCGCAGGAAACTTTCAGCACCAGGCCGTTGGATCAAAATGAAAAAAAAAAAAAAACAAAAAAAAAAAACAAAGTAAGGGTATTTTGTTGTCTTGTTTTCGGGACACTTTAACGTCCTGATTGATTTCTTTGTTTTTCGAAATGCAATTTGCCATTTCAGCATATCTCCCATCAACTCGATATGACATCCTGTCGGGTCTTCATGATTATGGTAAGTTATTGGACTTTTATCAGTCTGTCTCCACTCTGTTATATCAAAAATATAATGTAAAATGAATGTTTCAGTATGCTTTACACATCGTATTGAATGAACCCGTTGATTTCACTGCTGTAAGTCTTATTTCTACGTTATATTAATATTATTGTTGTTAATAGTATTCATGGAAGTATTGCTTTTTTCTCAGCATGACATTCATGACACAATAAGTGGTGCCTTCTCCTCATGGATAATTTTGTTTCTAGGGTTTAGTTATTATTATTTGTCATTTAGCAGACACTATTATCCAGAGTGACTTTTAGTAAACTAACTTTAGGGACAGTCCTTGCTCAGGACTCAGTATTCTGCACAACTTTGTTCTCATTGTTGTCTTTTTGTATTTTGTCAGACATGGAAGGTGGCTTGCACATTGGGCTGAGGCGGTTGGATTGCACATGGCGGTTGGATCTTGCCTCACTGACAGTGAAGTGAGCTTTTGTTGTCAAAGTATTTTGTTTATTTATTTATCTATCCTATTGTCAGTCGACAATATTCTATACTTAGACTTTCAGGGGACACAGATATCAGTTGGGTTCTTAAAACACACCAAGTCCCATTGTTGCAGGGTTGATCCTTGAAAGACCCTAAAAGACCCCTGTGAACACACATGTGCCCCAAGCCAAACGGTCTAGAGCTAGTCTGATCATTACAGGCATGCACTACTTTAAATGTTTTTGCTAAATGTACTGTTGTAGTTTTATAATGCGGTATTAAAAAGGGCTTAAAAATTTTAACTGGTGGACACCCTGTATTAGGGCAGGGACATTGACCTTTGTTATTTTTGTTTGTTTTTGTAAAATGGATTGATTCTAGATGAATTCTCTTGTGCAAATTCGAAGTAAATCAAATCTTAGTTTGGTTCTGCATTGCATATGCATGAAATTATACATTTTATTAAATGAAACATTTTGTAGTAGACAATTGAAATACATTACATCACACTGTGCTCTTCTACAACAGATGAATGGACCAGGAGAAATTGAGTATGGAGTAGGAGCGCTGGAGGGGGACACGACACCACACAATCTTGAGGTATTTTGTAGAGTTCTGCAATGTATATAATATATTTAGACGTTTTATTTATCTGAAAATATAAAATTGTTGATTGCTGTTAATTTTCAAATATTTTTCATAAAGAATGCCAATATGATGAGCAGCATCAGAAAAGGTGTGGAATGGTTGAAGGACAATCACCCGCTGATGAAGATCAAGTCCTTGCCACCACGCATTGACAGCATGGAGGAGGAAGAAAGCCCTTTCTCCACTACATTCACATTGTGCCACAACTTTGGATGAGGATGATAAATTAAGAGCCACATTCTATTTTACATTTAAAAACAGAGAGGTCATGCCCTTTTTCATGTCTGAGGTTAAGGACAAAGAAAAAAGTAAGAGTGTCATCATTTTAAAACCCTGACATTTAATTATTATTATTTATTTTCAAATTGGTGACAGACTTGCTGTCTGTCTGTCTGTAGCAGTATGTCTGTGTATGTACTGTATATTAGACGGTCTGTCTGTATCAATATGTCTGTCTGTCTCAGTGTGTCTGTGTATGTATGTCAGTATGCCTATCTGTCTGTATCAGTATGTCTGTGTATGTATATTAGTTTGTCTGTCTGTATCAGTATGTATGGCTGTGTATCAATATGTCTGTCTGGTAATTGAATTGAAATATAATTGTATTCTTGGTAATGTCTTCAAAATTAATAAAATATTTGAAATAATTGTTAATAATTTGTGTTCAAGTCATTTGTTTCATCAGGCAGATTTAATTAATTTAAGAATAATTAGACATATATTGATTTAGACTAATAGTTCGCCTTTGAATGTCAAATCAGAAGTTTGTGTTATACCAGGTATTGAGCAATTAAGTGTGCTATTTATTGTTTTGCAGGAAAAGTGTGTGAAAAAAGTGTGAAATTAGTGTGCTCCTGATACAAGCACTGTTTTATTTCAGTAAAGGAACCTGAAAGCCTGCGAGCAACAGCAAAAAATAACTTGTAAGCAAAAATAATTGGTAACAAATATACTATATAGGTTATTGACACTGCGCGTGCACGGGTAAAACTGTTGAGGTGAAACTGCGCATGTGCGGGGTGAAACTGTGGCTCTGCAGACTAATAAGCAAAACTAATTGGTAAAAATAACCATTAGATCGTTTTAATACTGAACAATTTTCGCGGGTAAAACTGCTATATTGAAACTACGAATGCGCAGATAAAACTGCTTAAAACTGTTGTGGCGAAACTGCGCATGCGCGGGGTAAACTTGCTGGTATAAAAACTGCGCATGCGCGGGGTAAAACTGCTGGTGTAAAACTGCTGGGGTGAAACTGCGGCTCTGCGGCTCTGCAGACAGATATTGTACAGACACGCGGAATGACGCGGACATTAATGGCGTAGACATACACGCCACCTGACTCGAAAGTGGTGTGTGTGTTTACGCAAAAGACATGATGTCATGTTGCCATTGAAGGCTTTTCAAAAATGTTTTAGAAATCTTAATTATTTAATTTAATTTACTAAGACGTCCTTTTAGCAAGGCACTTACAAGCATTACATTTACATATTTTCTCTGTCCGCTGCAATGTTACTGTTACAATAAACGCATGATGAATGTTGCTTATCTGGAGGGTGGAAACTGGAAAGTTCATTTAAGGCACAATGTTTCTTACCTGGTTCCCACGTCAGCGGTGTTTGGGAGAAATGTGAATGTTCCTCAGTAGATCTCGCAGCGATGTTATTACTTCAGTGGTGAATTCAAATGTGTTCATACTGGATTTCGCTTCTGATCCGCTCGCTCTGTATTGGTCCAAACATAAAAACCGGTCCGTCAGCCATACAAAAACGAGTAGTTTAACTTAAGTTTCGTTCAGCTCACATCATAATTGCAAATTTGATGTTGGGTAATGTTGTGGTCACGCCAGCTTCTCTTAAATAGAGTGCCGAAGTTACAGCCTCACTCTGTGCCAAAACGCGGGAGTGAGTTAGCATTTTAGCACTTCCGGTTCCCTCGCCCTAAAGTCTTAATGGGTTTTTGCTAAATCGCCCGCAATAAGGTCTGTGATTAACAAAGCCTCTAAATATTTTCATTATATTTTTTTCATATTGTTTTTTAAAAAAACTTTATATAGGCTTCAAAATTTATAAATTTTGGATTAACTTGTATAAAGATTATCTTGATAAACAAAACGTGTAAGGGTCACAACTCTTTGTTGAACACAGATCTTTTTTTTTTTTTTAAAGATTTTCTAAAAGTCTATGAGGAAAATGCATTGCTTTTCGATCGAGGGAACACAAAAATACGCATTAAAAATGCGTACCGAAAACCGAACCGCCGAACAAATACGTGTATTGCACCCCTACGATGGTGTTCACTTCCGGGTTCAGTAGCAGTTTTTGCTTAATCTCAAATTGTAAAAACCAAACCACCAAGCCAAATCATCTTACACCTATGAGAGCTAAATTGTCGCTTAAACCAAGAGCATTACTATAAATTAAATAATTATAATTCTATGTGGTAATTACAGCAAGCTACAAATGCTTTTAATAAGAGATATTGTTGCATTTTACCCATTTATAATACCAGAAGTTAAGCAAATGACAACAAAGAGAAAGGAAAAGTACAATGTATGAAAGCCTTTTTATTTGCAAATTAGTACAAAGTTTGTTTTTCCTGTGTTAAAAATAGAACAGAGCATTAGTTACATCCTCTACTGTCTGGTTACACTGTGTAGTGTATTCAGGAAAGACAGAAGAGGGCAGAGCAGGCCCAAAAAAGACAGAGCAATATTTACACACAGTCTCTCTCTGCCCCCTCCCCATCTAAAGAAACAGTGCAACATTCAGGCATTTCACATCATTTTAAAAATTCTCCACCCCATTTCTACTTCAGCAGCAGTAAGATACAGCAAGTCCAAGATCCAGTACTTCACTTGAATACCGCACATATTGAATCATGTCTAGGAATGTGCTCCTCTAAAAAGGGAGAAAGGGCGTTAAAATGAACACAATGGAGCTTGGTGCTATTTCACTCTTCACAATATAGACAACTAAAATGGCGGCCATTGTATTTAGCAGCCACCCTGCCATTAAGAAAATGCTTTTCAGTATGGTCATTGTCTTCTCTCATCACTCTGTTCTCATGTGGTTAATGCTTAATCTCATTATCTGATACCTAAAAACAAGAAGGTAAAAAAAGATAAGTTCTAACCACTCTTATAAATAGATAAGAGCTGCTAGCCATACAATTGTTCTTTAGTGATAACTGGCCACATAGCATTTCCTCATGGTAAAATGATTGCTTTTTGCTATGTCTCTCATGTTTTAACAAGATTTGAGCATCCATGCTTTACACATAACAGCTGCACAATCTGTAAGACCAGTGGGTCTTATGAAAGTTCAGTCATATCAATGCCACAAATCCATTGAAAAATGCACAAACATTAAAGAAAAACCCTCAACAAAACAAACAGGAAAAAAGCAAAATTGTTTTGACCAATGCTACTTCGTGGTTTGAAGAGTGTAGTTTCACATCAAATTTATTAACTAATATTTATATGTGTAAAACATGGCTAATAATTGACTAGCATGCATTTCTGTTGACTTGCATGGAAATTCCCCACATAATCAGATGGAAATCATTTTCCTGGTTGCCCTGAGCGACCAAAAATCTGGTTTCATTGGTTTAAGGGACTGTAGTTGTCAAAAGAATAATCAATGCTTTTGCCTTGATTTAATTGAAGAAAATCTAGGGGGAAAGTTTATAAATATTTTTTATTCATCTTTAAAACTTCAATTTGAATCATGATGCTTTAAAGTGCAGTAAAAACCACTTAACACTCATTTGCATGGAAAATGGGGACACCTTTGGTATAATTTCTCACCAAATCATAAGCCAAAATGCAGAATGCAACAACAAAAAAGTCAGCGGAATGCACATGCAGAAAAACTTAAATTACGCATAGAAAATGAATCTCTGCTACCGTCTAATAAAACTAAAGAAGTCTCTCAGTGCATTTTAATAATACAATTTCAATTCCCAGGACACCAAATGTATGCATTTGTCTTGTCCCAGTACTACTAACACATCCAAAATATATTGATATGTCTGTATTAAAAATAGGCCAAACCAATGCACACATTTTGTGTGGGATCTGCAGGGCAGGACTGGATACACTAATGTGTCGTCACACACAACGTACAGTAACAACTACTGGTCAACATAATCTCAGTGAAACCTGTAAACTGCTCTAAAAACACAAACACTTTTCAAAACAGGAAAAATAAAAAAAATATACACATCTAATGTTAAAAAGCAGCCATATCCATCACTTTGCCAGCACAGAAGGGAACCAAACATTAAATGTGTGACTTTGGGTGATTCGTACTGACGGCTTAGTTAAAACACACCTGGAGTACAGGTAGTAATGAACCGTTTTAAATATTCGTCCAGGAAACAGATATGTGCATTTCTCTCATGTTTAATAAGGCAGGGCTGGAATGAGAACATCTCTTTTCTCTGGCTTGCTGCCCTAGGAAGGGAACATAGACTACAACAAAACCAAAACGTCTGTCAGTAATAATCAATATACTTTAATCATATTATCATAGTATAAGTTAGTCGAAGCTTTTCTCGTATATTAAAATTTATGACCACGTCTCCACTTTAACTCATCTCGAAGCCAAGTTTTATACAAATTGTTAGAAATTTCACTAATAAATAATTGATTTCAATATTAAAAAGAGATCCCAAACCCAGAGATTAATTTCAGACGTACACAGCATTCATCTTGAAAACACAACCACTCACAGAAACATAGCATCCGGTTCAATGTTTCACCCCAAAATCAAAAGAAAATAAATTATACGTTGCAAAAAGAAAGTCTATTCATAAAGATTATTTGCAGTGAGATTTTGAGACAAATAAGCAAACTTCCCCTCCTAAATTCTCTTTAATTTAATGTGAAGGGGGGGGGGGGGGGGGGAACGGACACAATTTTTGTAAAACTTTGCATAAATTAAATTCAGTATGAACAAATACTATTATAATGTAAATATACTTACAGCTGTACTGAAAATAAAGTACATTTTCTTTACAAATTACAATAGGGGGTGACAATATTTTAGGCAGGTTTATTAAATTACGAAATGGTCCTAAAATAAAACCAAAATAGTTATTTTTGTCTTCGTGCAAGGTTATGAAACTTCTATGCTTTTACTAAGATCTTCAAGTTTTGCTCTTTCTTTTGATTATGGGGTGAAATACAACCTGAAGATTTCTTAACAGCTTTCATTAGATTCAAACACTCAAACACAGTTGTACACAAAGACACTCCTTTCAGCAGGAAAGATCTAAAACTTTTTCTACCCCGACGACCAGCTTTCGCTCCTCCTCTCGCCCTGCAAACATATTATTGTGAACTCTCTTACATCCAACTGGCACACAGCTGAGAGTTCTAGGGCTGGGCAGACTGGCATTTTCACCATGAGCTTGTTACCACACACACACACACACCTTAAGGCAGGCCAAGTGAGCCACCTTTCGCTGTAAGCAGCTTTCGCACTACCCTCTTGTAATTCTGTCTGAATTCATACACAGAATCTTTTGTGAAAATGCTCTGATGGAGCACCAGAGGCCTGCTGCACACTGTAGGATCAGGTTTTAAATGATATCCTGTTCAGATGTGGTAAAAAGTGCCCACTCCCGTCCTACTAAGTGTAGGGCGGTACACAAGAAACGCCATTCTTTCTGCAATGAACCTGCAGTGATACAGGTCGATAAAGGGCGAGTGCTTTTGTGCCGGCCAATCTGACATTTTTCTAAATCTGTGGGCTGGTGTTTGCGTGCGTGTGTGTTCAGTCCAGCTTCTCCAGAACAGAGGGCACGTAGACTAGGCTGAGCTCATTACCAAAGTCACAGACTATGGCGGCATTGTCCAGAACCAGAAGCTGCCTGACGCTCTGACCTTCGCTACTCTGTCCCAAGTACACCGTCTGCAGCAGGTCTCCGTAGTTCAGGTCCCAAAATGACACGCAACCTTGTCCTCCTGTCACCAGCAGGCTTTCAGAGATCACCCCCAGACTGGCCCCACACCCCACCTCCTGAAACAGAGAGAGAAGTGAGAAATGCATTACAGATGTTGCTATTTTTATCTTTGTAATAATCATAATATGCGGTTTTTGTTGACCTAATCATGCAGTCCTCACTCTCAAAATCACACACCTGTTGTATGGAGTACAGCTTTATGCCTGTGCTACGGTCCCAAATGCAAATGAGGTCATCCAGCCCACTGCTAATGATACAGGAAGTTGTGCAAACCAATGAGGTAACATCACCACGGTGACCGTACACGTGGCTCACTCGGCTGCCTGTTAGGACGTCCCACACGCAGATGGCTCCGTCTTGGCCCCCGCTGGCTAGAACCATGGTCTATAACACAGCACATTTTAGATGAACAAAAATATCTCTGTATGCAACATACGATTTGCACGTTTAATTATTTGTGCAATTTAAGTTTCTGTGCATTTGATTTGCAAGAATGTATCTATCTGTCTGTCTGTTCACTTAATTCACAGTATTTGAAATGAGATATATGAATGAATGGCAGTATTGGTGTATGTGTGTGAACTAGTGATGTGATTCTTACCTGGTCTATGTAGATGGCAGTTATACCACCTGAGTGGCCCTGCAGGGTGAAGAGGCAACAAGAATCCTCCAAACGATACACCTATAATAGAAAAATATGAAATAAACACCAAACTAACGCATGAGTTAACTGTAGGCCTGCACAAAAATCATGGAGAACCGGGATGCCTGGAGGCAACGATGGAAGGCTCGTCTGAGGATGACTTAGAGTATCTAATAAAGTTTTCAGTAACCAGAGCATTGTGTTCTCTGCTATATTTAACATGTTTTACCATTTTTAAAACCATTCCACAAACTGTTCCTTATGTAATGTGTGTGTTATGCGTCCCTTACTCTGACTGTATGGTCCTGGCTGCCGGTGACGACCCTGCCGGCGGCTGCTTTGAGCACAGTGATGGGTTTTTGGTGGGCACACTGCACTGAGCGGGTCAGCTGACAGCTGATCACATCCTCACTGCTGTAACAGGAAGAGGGGGGCAGACTGCCTCGGCCTGGGGGTCCTGACACACAAAAACAGGTAAATTGCCTCTTCACGTTAGACATTCCCTTTCCCCTTTGAGTAACTGAGTTTGTCTTCCTATTTTTAGGGTTTGAAGCTTTTTAAAAACAACAACATACAAATCAAAAAAAGAAAAACAAAAAAAGTTTACCTGTAAAAAATTAGTACAAATAGAAAAATGTATCTCCACTATATAAGAAAGTACACTAAATTCTCTCTCGTTTCCATGTTTTACAAGACAGTGTTTTTATAAGCTTTTTTGAATATTTTGACAACTCACCGCGATATTGAAGCAACCCGATAGGCTTGTTGATCTCCACAGTGAAGAAATCCAGTGAGCCATTTAAACGGGCCGCCACAATTCTGCAATCGAAAATATCCCGGTTAAGTCGAATGGTTGTGTCTGTGTGTGAGCTTCAGGTGGTTGTGAACGCACCTGTTGTTAAGAAAAGCCAAGGCAGTGATTCCAGATAATCCATCTTCATTGCAGCATCGTAATGATCCTTCTACCGCATCCCACAGCTGACAGGAAAAAAAGAAAACAGGAAATGAGGAGGACAGGTCAATGACATTGACGGTTCAAGATGTTCTCCATTATAAAAGCCCTTTCTCCCACCTCCAGTTTGCCGCTGCTGCGGCCCGTGGCAATGAGGTTGCCCCTTAGCTCCATGGCCCACACTGAGCTGTCCCAGTCGCCACTGCTCTGCGAGGGGAGCTCTGGTGGTAAGACAGGCTGGTCCCCAAGGCTACGTCGCCTTTGCTGTGAAGCTGGAGGAGAAGGGGGGAAGGCCAGTGTTGGCGAGGGCTCATGCTCCTGGTACGCTTTCTCCACAAGTCCCCCAAAGTCAAAGCCAGAGTTGTTGACCACAGCATGAGATGGGGGCAAAGTCCCAAAGTTAGTGTCGATGAGTGGGGTGAGGTCTGGCTGGTCCCCAAACAGTGCAGGGTGTGCAGGAGTGGTCCTCCTCCTTATTGGAAAAATATCTACATCTGGCCCTCCCATAGCTCCTCCTGGTTCCCGAAAGTCTGCTCCCAGGAAGCCCTCGGCCTCACAAGCACCCATGTGATCCCAGCCGTCACGATGCTCCCAAAAACCACTGCTGCTGCTGCTCCTGCGCAGACTTACAGTAGACACACACACATAACATATACATTTTGTTTTACATGTAATATAAACAATACATAATATTATACACATAAGCAAAGGTCTGTCAGTGAGTTTATTTTGAAGAAATTGATTCATGAAGAAAACGTATGTATAATGCTTTTTAATTAATTTTATTTCAAATAATGCTGTTATTTTGAACTTTGCATTTATCAAAAGAAATAATGGTAACACTTTACAATAAGGTTAACTACATTAACTAACATGTACAATATGTGAACAATATTTCTTCAGCATTTATTTAATATTAATTCCAACATTTACTAATGCGTTATCAAAATCAAAGTTTGTATTAGTTAACATTAGTTAATGGACTGTGAACTAACAATGAACAGCTGTATTTGTATTAACTAACATTAACAAAGATTAATAAACACTGTAACTAATGCATTACAATGAGGTTCATTAGTTAACATTAGTAAATGCATTAACTAACATGAACTAACAATGTGCAATGCATTAGTTACAGTGTTTATTAATCTTTGTTAATGTTAGTTAATACAAATACAGCTGTTCATTGTTAGTTCACAGTCCATTAACTAATGTTAACTAATACAAACTTTGATTTTGATAACGCATTAGTAAATGTTGGAATTAATATTAAATAAATGCTGAAGAAATATTGTTCACATATTGTACATGTTAGTTAATGCATTTACTAATGTTAACTAATGAACCTCATTGTAAAGTGTTACCGAAATAATGTATCGCTATTACCAAAAAAATATTAAACAGCACTATTTTCTACATTGACAATATTAAAAAATGATTCCTGAGCACCAAATCAGCACAATTGAATGATTTCTGAAGGATCATGTGACATTGAAGACTGTAGTAATGATGCTTTGCACTACAGGAATAAAGGACATTTTTAAATAGACTATGGGATCTGTATTAGGGAAAAGTTTATGCATTTCCTTACCCATTGTTGGGTATAACAGTAAGACAGTCTCCTGTCTGTGCGTCCCACACACGGATCTGTCCCGCCAGGCAACAGCTGGCCAGCAGCATGCCATCACTAGCCAGACACTCAATGTCCTGAGGAGAAGGTACTTTTATACATCTCAGAGTTCCTTCACAGAAGAAACGTCATTGCATGTTGACGTGACTCTCACCATGCTGTGGCCTCTCAGCAGCAGAGGGGAAATTTCACTGATGGGTGGAGAGTAACCGTACTCGTCGCAGGGCAGGTCTCCACGGCGACGGCGACCATGGGGCACACCGTTCTGCCCGTAGTTACGAGGGCAAAGGACACGATACAAACAGAAGAGTAAGAGTACTAACACCACACCGGCGAAAAGTCCAAGAGCTGCCACCCTACACAAACACACATTATAATAAATGATGTTAACACAGCATAATAAAAATGATAGTACAAAACGACCTATCGTTCCAAATAATGGAAGATGGAGGAGTGTTTGAGAAACCTGCCATTTTTTTTTTTTTTTTTTACCATACTCCCCCAGAAATTACACACTTCTTCAATGAATGAATGGGTCACTGTAATACAAGTCTCTCTTGAAATTCCAGTTCACCCTCCTCCACAAAGGAAATCAAAGGTGAGCATTACATGCAGAAAGTTGGACTACATCTAAGCATATGCTCACATTCTTGATCAGTCCTCAAAGGGTAAATGCAGCACAGAAAACAAAGGGAACCCAGCAGGAGGCCAAGAGAAGCATTAGTGGGAGGGCCACATTATAGAGCAAACTGACCTACATCCATCTGATGTGTATCTAACAAACCATAACAGCCACATAGATAAGAGCGAGGCCTTTGAACAACGACCTTGAACACCACGCTCAGAGTGTGTTTGTTTGTGAATGAGAAAGACTATTGTTTATCTCTGCAGTTACATATTCGGACCTCCAGCGTGTGCTAGCATGAGATATGATTGAGAGCGCATAGTTAACCAGTTAACAGTTTTTTTTTCCCTGTGTATATATGAAGAATGTGTTTGTGTTTTTTCTGTGAACAAACGTCATGGCCAAAATATTCTTCTAATCACACAAAGGAGAGGGTTAGTACATGCTTTCCGAGAAAAAACATTGAGCAACTTACAGATTAACAATGAATGACTACTGTCTGATCTATATATATATATATACAGCTGAAACTCGAAAAATGAAAAGGTGAAGCTAATATATAATATAGACTCATTACATGGAAAGTGAGATATTTCAAGCCTTTGTTTGTTATAATTTTGATGATTATGGCTTACAGCTATGAAAACCTTTTCACAATATTCTAATTTTGAATTTGGGGTTTTCATAAGCACAACTTTTGAAATATTCACATTTTTCAAGTTTTACCTGTATAACAAGGTGAAAAAACAAACAAAACTTTTCTGGTGAACACCCAAAAAGTGTAGGAGTTTTTTAAAGTTCTTTGAAAGAGCCAAAAAGCTCTTTTTTGTTTGTTTCGTTGGTCCATAGAACGTTTGAAAAGTAACTGGCACTACTGGAAATTCAAACTGGATGGGTTCTACTGTATGGTCAGATTCGTTTTTTTGGCAGCAAACACTTAAGATGGGTTTGGTGCACACAGGGATAAAAAAGTATGCCACATGTAAATGAAATACTTTCTGACAGAGGTCTGGCATCATGGATTCGATCAAATACCAACAGATAAAAAAATCAAAATCAACAGCCTGTGCTGGAAATCTTATAATGGGCCATGTTTGGATCTTCCAACAAGATAGTGATCCAAAACAAACATCAAAACATAAATGGGTCACTGAACACAAAACCAAGCATCTAAAATGGCCATCCCAGTCCCCAGACCTGAACCCTATAGAAAATGAGTGGGCTGAACTGAAGAGAAGCAGCGGCAACATGGATCTGGGAATCTGAAGGATCTGGAGAGATTCGGTATGGAGGAATGGTCTCTAAAATCTTGTCAGGGGTTCTCCGAACTCATCAGACATTATATGAGAAGACTCAGAGCTGTTATCTTGGCAAAACGAGGTTGCAAAAAGTATTTAATAAAAGGGGGGAAATATTTGTTTCCAACATGTTTTGGAGAAAAACTAATTTTCATAATTTGAAACTGTATTTATGCAAAGACACATTTCAGTACATTCACATTGTTTCCACACACATTCAGGACAGTTTTTATCTGTCATCATACACAGTTAGGTCACCAACACAGTTAGTTTTTGGTTGTGATCCTGTGATTGCAACTTGACATGTCTACAACGTAAACTAGCTCTGAACAAGCTCTTTGCTGTTGCACTGAACAGATACTGTATACAGAATTCTGATAAGTTTTGTTCAGTAATGTTTTTGTTTAAATTCCTAAACTTGTGAACGAGCTACACTAATAAAAGCAGGTATTATGGTATATGGCCAAATAGCTGAAGTGAGTCACTGACTTGTAGAGCGTGAAGTCTGTCTGCAGATCGGAGGTCTTGATGCTGGGAGGAGGAGCATGGTGTGTATCCTGGGGGTGACGTGTGTCTATGGCTTCTTGTGGGCTGAGATGGAGCGTGACGGGGATGACTGGAAGAATGCTGATGTACCTGAGGGAATGAGAGAGGAAAATAAGCATGTTACACACAGATAAACTGAGATGATAAGAGAGGGCCTAAACTCTATTAATTATCATGAGGTGAGAAAGTAGCACACCTCTTTGCAAGAGTGATATTGTAGTAGTTAAAGAGTGAGGGCCAGTGACGGAAGGAAAGCCGCCTCCATAGCTCCTCATCCTCAGGGCCCCAAGTAATCTGGGGACTGAAGACGGGGGCAACTCCTGGGCGGGCTGCTCGGTGGCCCTGTGATTGGTTCTCTGGTAGAGGGGTGGGTTCAGGGGCAGGGAGCACGCTCAGTGTGCTGGTTGGGTCTCCACCAGGAAATACTGGAGCCACGCCCAGGTGAGGAGGAAGCCCCGCCTCCCCAAGAGTGCTCTGCTCTGACACCTGGGCAGCAAGGAAAGTCCTCAGACCAGCAGGGTCCGTGTAGACCAAAATCCCAATCCAGATAACAGTGCCAACCTATTAAATAAATACACAACACATTTAGATAACATAAAAAAGCTAAAATAATTTAATTTAATTACAATTCAAAAGTTAAAAGGTCTGCAAGATGTTTTGTTTTTGAAAGAAGCTTCTTATGCTCAACAAGAATGATAAAATATACAGTAAAACAGTAATTTTGTGTAACATTTAGGGCTGCACCCAACTCAAGATCTTTCTAGTCGACTATTATAAGACATTAGTCGATTTATCGCATGTTTATATTCATTTAATAACTAAAAATATATACTGGGGGGAATTTATAATTAAACGGCAGCAATTATAGTCTTATAATTTTGTTGGCAGCAAAGATGAAGTTAACGATGCTGACTCTTTTTCTCCGTAGTATAGAATTTTGAGACAAATGCCTTTTTCATTGTTTTTGATTTGAATTGTATTGAAACAATAGTTTAAAAGCAGATGTTTCAAACTTTTATAGATATATTTCTCATGTCTAAGGCAAGTCGCATACGTGGAGTTTCGGTTAATTTTTGTGACGCATTTGAGTTCAGCAAGACTGCAGAAAATGCATTCTGTTTTTTAGTTTACACAAATAAAAATAGACCTTTTACAGGGTAAATTTTGAATTATGTATTACTCTGTATGACCAAAAATGTCAGAGTATTTTGAGTTGTTTCTGCTGTTATCAGGAAATAAATGCAAGTGATCGCGCTGGCGCCTCTGTCATGCAGTAAGTGCGCTAATACTTTATCTTCCACACTCTGCATAAACACTTGGGTATGTGCCTAATAATAGAGCGCATTTATCTAGCTACGCAGAATGTTACAATGCACCGTTAAAGTGAGTAATCTTTACCATGATAATCCGTTGTGCCAGGCGAGTACGGGCTAAGAAGTAAACCACCCTGAGCCTCTTGGGCAAGCGCAGGTTCCGGAATGCAGGAGCCTGCAGGGTGATCGTGTGGGGAGAGGGGCGGGGCGGAGGAGGTGTCTCTCGTGGACGTAAAGGGCCCGGTTTAGGAGGAGGCATACCCGCTTCGGCCGGGAGACGCCTGTTCAGGTCAGCCAACTATATGCGTGAAGACATGAGAAGACAGTTTGGAGAGCTGACACGATAAAATTGAACAAAAAGGTCAAGACACTCTGATGAAGCAATGAATGATTCATGTATTTCTCATGAAATTGTAAAAGCAACTTTCCAGAGTGTTTCCACCCATGTGTGGGTGGTTCTCACCTCCATGCGGCGAATGTCAATAGACAGCACAGTGGTGAAGAAAAACATCTGGAGGAAGAAATCGGACACCAGACCGACCACAGCGAACAGACAGAACTCCTACATCCATAAGAAAAAGAAGCAAAGGTTGCTTGCAATCGGCAAATGTACGAATACCACCAAAAACAAGTCATATACTTGTTATTAAGAAGAGCTTCACCTGAATTGCTGGTACAAATGTGAAGTATCCAATGAGAATGATGCACAGTTCAGTGGCCATATTCTTCATGATAGACCAGCTCTCATTGCTTAAACCTTAAGGGAGAACCAACATTTTTTAAAAACACAGACCTTTAATGGAGTAGATCACATTTAATTTGGTCTAATTTTAAAATGCCATACTTTCTATGAAATATTGAATGGGGAAAAAAACATAAGATGATAAATCACTACACTAAATGGGCTTTACTTATATCCAAACCACTAGGAGAGAAAAATTCGGTGTACATATTGTAACAGTGATGACATCATCTCTGACCTTGAGCAATTCGCAGCTTGACTTCAAGGTCAACAGGCGTTGAGACAACAGATTTGGTGAGGACAAGGACATTCTCCAAACCAATTACCACCACAAGGTAAGGGAAGATTTCCCTGAAAAAGAGCAGCAGATAAAACTAATAAACCTTTGAAAATCTATTAAAACTAACCAGAAAGTAAGAAAATTATTTAAATAATGTCTGATGTGAAAAAAATACACCAATGTATAAGAAATTGAATGTGTGCAACATCAGGAATAAATACACCAGCTCATTATTGACCAGATGATAGGAGTTGAACATAAATTTACTCTAACAAAATAATTGCTGTTAACTAAAGACTTCTAGGATCAACAAGGTCTAGATAGTGTCTACGGATGGACTGTAGCCTGGTGTACCAGGTGAACTAAGCCAAATTTGTTTGGAAGCCTTAAACTCACACCACTGTGACTGTATGTCCATATATGTAACCTTATTGGCTTGCGAAAAAAACCATGCCTGCCCACTCAAACACTTCCTGACAATGAAATCCCCCTTAATCACTGCCGTTATTATCAACAATTGGTTATACATCAACCTGCTCAAAGATCAAAAGTGAAAATTTAATTCCTGAGTGATTAAGTAAATAGTAGCCCAGTGATATGAATCATTTTAGTGGTTTATGAATGAGGGTGTGTTTTGGCTAAACTCCTACCCTCCATTCAGCGTGGGCGTCAGGCCAAACAAGGTGCAGAGTCCCACAGACATGAGCAGAGAGCTGAGAACCGTCACAACAGCAGCCAGCGCCAAGCCCCATTTGGACTTAACCATGTCGATCTTTCCTGTAAAGTGAGGAAGAAGGATCAAACGAGTGCAGTAAGAATTATTTTTAACCAAAAGCATTTTATGAGAATTAACTCATTGAGCTGTTGAACATCCATGTGAAATCCTGCTGGAATGTGGGTACGCAGACATGAATTCGTGACGCTCAACGTGCTGTTCTGGGGATAATCGCCAGGCCAGACTTAAACACCTTTCGGTCGAAAGCTCAGTAAGAAACCAAACAGCTATGCTAATCTGAAAGCTTTCTGCTGCCAACTCACCCCTGAGTCCTGGCAATAGGGCCAATTTCAATCTCTGTCATATTACTTCTGTAGGGTTACAAATTTATTAAAATGTTTCATTTAGATTCCAATACTATAGTATATAAACTGAGAAAGTTTATTAGTGTGAATTTTATAACTAAGATAAATTATGTGACAAACCTGCCTGTTCTTGTCTGTCCTGATCTCTCTATAGTAAGTTAAATTGATCAGATGAATGAGACTAGACCTAATTAGATTGGTCAGTCCTTCCAGAAAAACATGTTTTTTTGTGATTGTTGCGGGTAAAAATCCTTGATTATGCGCCTCGTTTTCTTTAAAAATGCATTGGAATAATTATGCAGGATATTTATGCAATGAATTGCGATGAAAAAGAGAAAAAAAGTGTGTTTTTTTCACCTGTTCTCACTAGGCTACTACATTAATGTAAAGAGTCATTTCTTATTACTTCCTATGATAAGCAAGCATACTAAGCATCACAGCAGAATTTATAATGTTCAAACAATAATGTTCAATATGCCGCAAAAAAAAGCCAAATGTTTTCAGGGGCAAAAAAAAGAGACGAGTGTATATAGTACTGAAGTATTTTCCCAAATACTAAAAATATGAGGCCCAATAGATGCACATTTCTGGAATCTTCTACATCATCAATTGTCCTAAAATCACTGAGACACAATGATACTCTCTGTTCGAACCATAGACTGTAAAAAATATGGACAAAGCGTCTGTTACGTCACCCATAGACTTTCTGAAGAATGGGCTGTTTAAAGGGGGTATGGGCGGCGCCATACAGGAAATCTTGGGAAATACAAATTACAAATGTTCAGAAAGGATACAGAAGTGGTATGATGTGTTGTGTCAGATCATGGCCGAGACGTCAAGTTCCACTTGTCAGCTGTCAATCAAAGTTAACCGCCCTTATTTGTCATACATTTTATATCTAAATATGATCTAAACTAACGAGTAAGAAAAAAGAAAAATCACCCCCCTCACAGTTGTCAGGCACGAGGAACATATTGAAGATTAAAATAAAAGTCCATGGGAGCAAACTGTAAAAACATGAATTTATGCAGTCAAGACATTTTAACATGGGGTATATGGACATTTGCTCCCTTTTGGGACCGGCCTCTAGCGGATTTTCGATGTATTGCAGTTTTTTGCACTTCCGGGTAGGCTTCATTTTTCAGATTAGAATGTTGCTGCTTGGTTCTAACTCAGCACGTACAATTGTAACAAATTACGTTCAACCATGTAGACACCAAACTTTTGACAGGTAGTGTATGTTCCAGAATAAAGTAAAGCAAATAAATCTCTTTCTCCAATTAAACGAAAAAAAAAAAACAATGACAGAAGATAGGTAGAGATGACGCTTACGGGTGGAGAAGTAGATATAAGCAAAGAGGATGATATAGGTGGTGACAAGAGGGATGAGCTCAGCGATGCCAATCTCCTCTTTGAAATGAACGTGCACCATGTGGTCTTCACGCAGAGTCGAGTTCGCTGAAGGATGAAGCTGTTTCAGACGGGCTCGGAGACTAGCTACAAACCTGTTCAGAAACACACACAACCAAAAGGAAACAATGCGTTAAGAAATGATGCAAACATTATTAGAATCTAAACTGCAATGCTTGTTTTAGCAAATAAAAAAATAATTTGAAATACTACAAAGGCTGACCTTGCATCATAGGAGCTTAGTGCAATTGTGATGGTGTATGTCACCACTCTCTTCCTGCCGTACAGGCTTACACCCGTCTGCTTCCCCGGGACACCAAAGAGTAAGTCTGAAAATCACACAGTAAAAACGTGGTGAGCGCACAGACCCTAAATAAACTTTGAATTCAGGCCAGAATTAATTTGTATTTAAGCAGCTTCCTGCCTCTCAGAGTGGCTGAAGTATGAAGGCCTTTGGGTTCATGTTGGTGGACTGTCTTCAGGAGGTCTGGATCTGCATCAAACAGGTCACGCCGATTCTGCCAATAGTTGCCAGGGGATACCAGCAGGCAGCCGTGCTCTGGCAGGACCGCCTGCATGCGCCGCAACCCTGGCAACAGGTCCGTCACCTGCAAGCACAGCGCCTCCAAACTTCTAAAAAGAGAGAAGTGAGGAAGACAGGCAAGAGGTTGAGAAATGTGTGGTCAAAATTGGTCAAGATGTCAAAAAAGTCAGGCTGGAAAGCTTTGACCTGTCCGTGTAAACATGGTTTCTGATCTCCTCCAGAAGACTGAAAACACGCCCAAGGGGAGAGCGGAACACGTCCACAGGAACCAGACTGTTGTCCCATGGTGAGACCGCTGCCTTGACCAACACCTGCTGTATGTAAGCCACCGGAGGACCCCGATACTGCAAGAAAAATTTATCAATTTAATGTGTCCTTGCTGAATACAAATATTCATTTCTTTAAAAATAAATCTCAATGAACCCAAACTTTAACAGTAGTGTATATAAGTGTTGTCATAACACTGGAATTTCTAACTTCGGTATGATACTTTGAAATATATTGATATTCAATAACATACATTTTTATCATCTCATAATTTCTGGATAATTTGGGTAATTTAGCTGCAATAGTTTACACAGCACTAGGTGGTTTTATTTTGAGCTCTGAACTAAATCTACAAAAAAAAAAAAACAGTCAGTAATAATATAAGAACAAATACACAATAAGAATTTTCTTTCTCAACCATTTACATTCCAAAACTGACTGTTTGTTTACATCTGAATACTCGCAAAGATGGACATTTTGACCTTTTAAGTGCAATAAGCTACAAAAAAGAACTAATTTAAGGACTGCTAAGCTGTTTGAGAGACGGCTTTATGTGCCCGCCACTTATATAAATCAGTGGTGCGTGTGCTTTTGGCGTGAGCGTAAACCTGTGAAAATTAGTAAAATTATGCGCAATACGCCCGCCAAAATTCAGGACCTAGCTTAACACCAACACTATTTAACCGGAGTGAATGAGACGAGTGAGTGACAGGAGGCAGATGTGTGTCAAACTGTCAATTAGGAGTCAGAGAGAGTGAGAACGAGCAGCTGGTATCGGTGTATCGATACTGCAGAAAAGGAGTATTGTAATCATTTATACACACACTATATATATATAGTGGTGCACGATATATATCGGCCGCCGATATAATATCGGCTGATATGGTCAATTTTTTACACATCGGTATCGTTCCGATGTCAAAATAGGGCCGATGTGAACAGGCCGATAATCAATCCTGTGTATTTGATGTGCGTGCAGATGTTAATATTAGTTTCTATGCGGATTTACTCCATGACAAAACCACCCAAGTCATTCTAGAATGATTCATTCTTTCCAAATAGAGCTATTCAAGTCATCTGGTGAAATAGTTTTTATATCGCAATATATTTTGATAGAGACATCGGTATCGGCCATAACAGCAATATTAATATCGGTTATCGACCACAATTTTCACATCAGTGCATCACTACATATATATACAGAAACAACACTAGTCTATATTGTTGTATATCAAACAAGCATTTCATTTTACCCAATCAGGGTGCTCCGACAGATCGCCCTGAGACTCATGGGATGGGACCAAGTAATCTCGTATTCCAGTGGTGAACTCGACAGGCCCTGTTCCTGGCAGAGGCAGCTTCAGCAGAGGGTAACTGTAAAAGAAAGCGTGATTACAGAATAACAAATCAAAAGTCAAGCTGCATTCCTCACAGATAAGGCATCTCCCCTGGCTTTCTCTTATGACACAGAGCCCTGTACCAAGGACTGTACCATAAATCATGTTTGAATGAAAAGGGCAATCATAAAGCATTTCTTACATTACAGACAGTCTTATAGCATTCACTCAGTCACACACAGGTGGAGCAGAAGAGGAACGTAGCAAAAATGCACCCGGAGTGAGCACAAATCAATGTAATTTGTCATTTGCCACATCCTCAGGCTAGCAAGCTGTCAGAAGGATAAGGTTACAAAAAGAAGATAACTATCGCTATACTTTCAAGGAAAAAGTGATTGCACAATACTGTCTGCAGGACAAACACTGAGGGACTGGTAAACCCTCCAGATGGACTATCTGAGCAGTCCCTACTTCTCATAAAAGAAAAATCTGTCACTCCCCTTAAATAGGTCTCGAAATGCCCTGAAAACCCCCCACCCAAAACAGCAGAGTTTTAAAGAGAGGAGAACAGGGTGATGGGAATAAGGTTTGAAACACATGAGTCATGTGAAACACATGAAACCGTTGACATCAAGAAAACAGAAGGTTGTTGTGCAACTGCAAATTACAATACCCGAGTGTTCTTTCCTAAACAGCCCTCAACCTTCTTCCACAGCTTTTCATTGAAGAACTGTTTTCTCAAATCAAACTAAATATTTCTTTCAGGTGGCTGCAGCCACCAGGGTAGATGGATTCATTATATTTGCATCCACATCAATGCACAATTAACATTCTGTTTATTATAAAAGCACACTGCGGTATGTCATCTGACGATTAAAATACTCAAGTTTTTAAAGTTGATCAGCTCGAAAAAATAGTTTCCGTATGTTAAGTGATTCCGATTAAATAATGTCTGTCATTATTGTTAACTTCTATATTCGCACAGAATTAGAATGATTATTCAAGTTGGCATGAAATGAAAATGCACTGCATTTCATTTAGACTTTAGTGCAGTTAAACCCAACGCCTGAACAATCACGTTCATTTTTGAGTGCAACACCCACATCCCAAAATCGCAAACAACCGATGGATAAAACCAAGTCAACTACATTTTTTCTGTTTGAATAATCTACACAAGCCTTGAATGTACATCACAAAAGGAAAAAAAATCTGTTGCTAAATCCATTTTATTACGACTTTACATTTAAAACGTTAAACTGTAGTTATAGACCCAAGTGTGAACGGGCCTTTACAATAAAACTAGTGTAAGAACTGTGCAAAGAGTTACATATAATTTTACAACAACTCCATATACAGCCAGTAAACGCAGCAACTGAGTGAAAACATACATTTTATGAAATTATCTTTTTTTTTACAGTAATTTAAAGAATTACACCAACAGTTGAAGACATAAATATACAATTTCTGCTCAGACATAAACAACTTAAAATTTATAATCATATTTAATTATAATCAATGCGAATAACAATTGTTACTATAAGGACAAATTCATAAAACCTCTTTAGATTTAAGAAATACAATCTTCACATTCTGCTTTTAAACCTTAAAAGCTTAAAAGATGTCCATTAGTAAGCGCACTGTGCATTACTCCACAAACTGAAGGACAAATCAATATAATTGTCATAATCCATAATCAGCAGTGCTTAAATAGTATTTACTTCAGAATATTCCAGTCTTAAGGCTAAGGTATTCTGTGTAACTGCCCGATACCTTCGCTTCTCCAGCTCAGAAAGAACTTGGGCATCTGTAGTGACAAGCAGTTGCCATTTTCACAAAGCTTACTTCTGTTCCTCCAGACAGCTGGAGACACTGGAATGTTCTCTGAGAGAAACGTTCACACATTCACTCTTATTCACATGGATTTTGTCCTTTATCTAAAGCGTCAGAGATTTAATTCACATTTTGCTGACAGAGGGGAAAAGAGAAGGCATGAGAAGAAAACGTTTTCTCGTGCTCAGTGCTCCACTTTTGTGTTTGTGCTGCACACAGTTCTCTTGGCAAGATCTTGCTTTCGATTCAAACTGTGCGAAAACAACCGACCACAAGACAGCTTCATTCATTTGTGACCCAGTCTCACCTAAAAACATCCCACCCACCGATAAGCTTTTTTTCCTGACCCCCAGAAGAACTTGTTTCCCACGTCACTGCGTCCATGATTAGTTCACATCTCGATCACAACACTTCCCAAACCCCTTACTTCCTGATCTTATCAAAAATCATGCAGGATTCATCAGACTCACCAGCAGGTCAGGATGCTGACAGAGGTGAAGAGAATGATGGGAACCGGGTAGGAGGCGCATAGCAGGCCGTGCCGGTAGAAGGCGGCCGAGATGTTCTGCCGAAGCCGCTCTCTCACCGTCATCCTGGCGGGAGGGGTCAGCTGATGGCCATCGAGTCTGCGTGTGCGGCCAGGGCGAGGGCACCGGCGGGCATCCAGGGATCTGGGCAAACACAGCATGTAACTAAATGTTAGTAAAGTGATTTCAGTAGGACAAAATGGATGAGATTTCATCTTGCTGTTAAAAACAAAAAGTTGATGCATATTAAAAGCATTATCTATCTTATATCGTTCTTATGCAGCCACAGAGATTTATGGGAAATTTGCAACAAGCCTCTCGCTTCATAAACTGGCTTTACGAGATGCGATTTAAAATAAAAGCTTTATACACAAAAATTCACATACACTGCTAACATTCCCGATAAAAACATAATTATGATTCTGATTTGGCACAAGGCCTAAAAATGATACATAAACCCAAGCAGTAGGACTTAAGGTTTGATTAATTTAACATTAGTTCATAAATTAGATTTTTTTTTTTTTTTTTTTTACAGAATGTATTAATCTGGGTTAATGTATAAATACAATATTGATCATTGCTACTTCATGTTTGTTCACAAAACATTAATGTAATGAACACAACCTAAAACTTAGCAAATGTTCACAACAAACATTTGGTGTCTATACTGTTTTTTGTTTCTGAAAGAAATACTTTTATTCAGAAAGTTGATCACTAATTAATCACAAGTGACAGTAAAGACATAAATAATGTTACAAATGTTTTCGAACAAATGCTGTTTTGAATGTTCTATTAATCAAAAAAAAAAATCTGAACATTTTTTTTTTCACTATTTTCAACAAAAATATTATATAAAAGCACAGGGACAGCACTAAATCAGCATATTAGAATGATTTCTGAAGGATCATGTGGGATTGTCACTACCAATTCCAAACTTTTAAATGGATTTTTTTTTAAATGCTAAATGCTTGTCATTGTTCATTAATGATACAATGTTAACTAATGGAATCTTATTGTAACACGTTACCAACCAAACTAACCTCCATAACAGCAAGCTAGAAGGTCATTTTTCTGTTCAAATGAACCCTTTGCCCACAGAGGTGGATTCTAGACTTTTAAACTCTGACACCAGAGGGTTCAGGGGTTATACTAGTGGTTGATGGCTTACAAAGAGCTCTTTTCTGTCAATGGTGCCCCTGTGACTACACCACAGAGCAGAAACATTCCTCCCAGGAATTAACCTCCAGAGTGCCCACCGTTCATGCATTTCTATATTACATTAAATATGATGCCACATACAACCTCACAGAGCTGCTACACATATACTACTCAAGAGTGTGAGGAACTTCCAAGACATGATGCAAGAGATTTCATAAAAAACAGACTGAGAAAGAGAACTTTACCAATGAACTTTTCTCTTTTTATAAGATCCAAGTGCCTCTTTTCTGTCAAACCCGTTGAGTTGAGAAAATTTCACCAAAAGGATTAGACTTCTTTTGAAACTGAAACATCTCCAATGGACACCTTAATGATGTTTTATAATGGAACCTAGGATTGAAGGATTCATATGGCTTAATGATGATAGAATTATTCTCATTTATCCAAGTTTAAAAAGTCTCTTTCCAATTCCAGAACATAGGGTCTCAATCTGACACAGAGTTTTTTTCTCTTCATAACACATCCTGAAGAAACATATAATTGTTTATTATTTATAACCAATACAACATGATGATATAAAGTGACTATTTCCAAAACATTGCATAGATATTTTAAGTCGAAATTAAACACAATAATATAAACAGTCAAACTGAAATAGCATCAAATCCATTTGCACTAACACAACAAAAAATGCGATTTTTGCAGGTTTGCCGTTTAACAAATTAACAGACATAACAAAGCAATACTGGTACCTGCTACTGAATGGTTTAACTTACATTACTTAGATGTAACTTCACAAAATAGGTAGTACGTTTATCGTATGTAGAGCACAAACTACGCACAACATTGTGACAATAAAATGTGCGGTGCTCAGGATGATGTAATTCCCACGTTTCGTCTGCCTTTATTGTCAGTCAATTAAACTGTAACGTTACATTAACTGATCTGAGATCAGTCTAACAGAGCTAAAGCTATCAGTCGCTGAACAACGTATAACTACAGTTTTGCATGAACTGCGTTAATGCCCTTTAACAGTATCACTCAGCTAGTATTTATTATATTTGTCTTTTGCGAGGAGATAAACCTGATACACGGTTCCATGATAGAACTTTAGCCGAACGGCTAACGCTTTAGCATTAGCAACAGTTCATGTATAAAGCACCTGGCTGCTAGTTAAATAGTATTGACTAGTTTGACGTACATATACTTTAAACAGAATAAATGAGCTTACACATTTTATCCCCTCAATGTGGCGGCAAGCTATAAACATCTAGGAAGCGCTTTGACATCATGTCACTGGACGGGCTAACAGTAATACTAGTGAACACTTCAACACTAAGGGCCTGCCATGCTTCTAATTTAGCAACATAAGCACACAAACAAACAAAAACAACGTTCAAATCATCGCTTACCCTAATGACAGGTTCTACCCTTCCTCTCCGAGGGCTTGTTTTAACGGTGAGTCGCTCCTGTTCAGTTCCTGCAGGCAGGTGTCTGTAAGTCTCTACTGTTCTGCTGCCTGCATCATGTCAGCTACAGTAAGCCACTACTGCAACATGACCCCTCAACTTCAACCTCCAACAGAGCAAAACTAGAAACGCGTCAATCTATGACCTCTAGTGGCCACAACGGGAAATGTCAAACCTCTAAAACGTATTAGACGGAGGACTCTACTGGCCACAACATGGAACGAAGTGGCGTGTACAGCAAAGACAAAAAAAATCTTCTTAAATCGAATTATGTAAAAAGTGAAAAGTTAAGTAATTGTAGCATTGTATGACCTCGTTGTATCATAATGTAAGAAACCTTGTCAGTTGTCATTGTTTTCTGACGGGTGCATTTAAACAGTGGTCCTTTACACTGCGTGAGGCTTTGGACAGTTTTAACATAGTTTAAAGAGAGGCCAGTACGTATTAAAAAACAGCATATTCTTAATCGTACCCAGCTTCCCTGGTGGTCTAGTGGTTAGGATTCGGCGCTCTCACCGCCGCGGCCCGGGTTCGATTCCCGGTCAGGGAACATGACTTTTTAAATTTTTCCAGAAAGTTAGTCGGAGATATTTATTTATACAATATCAATAAACCTCGGAAATCAAAACACACAGAATAATTAAAAATAAGCAACTTTATCATAATTACATCCAATTATGTTGGAGAGTGGATGACAAGTCAAAAAGTTATATCCAATTGTGTTGCAGAGTGGATGACCAAGTCAACAATTGTGTTGGAGAGTGGATGACCAAGTCAAAAAGTTTGAGTGACACATTAAAACAATTTTAACTGTGACATGAAAGTATAGAAACACCATCACAAAGTGGCAACTGAACCTTAGTCTTAAGAAACTGACAGGTTATATTCTATGAAAACTCAATTTATTACAAAATAAACATCTTCGTTTCTGTGTTGCGATCCATTAACACAGAGTAATATGATGGATGATAACTGATAAAACTGTTACTGAAGTCAGTGTATACAACAGATCAAACTCTTCTACAGATCAAACAGACTTAACTCTTGTCCTATCAGAGAACCTAATCGGATTTAAGTTGTTTGATCCTTATGGCTAGTATTAAAAATATAGGAAAGAAAACTGAACATGCAAAGCATATTTACAAAAAAAAAAAAAAACTGAAACAAAGATTTTTAAAAAATCTTTACAAATTAGTATTAAAACCCCAAATTATTCTAAGCACAACACTGAAATGGAAGGTGACACTGTCAAATTGCATGCTGGGGGAAAAAAATAAAATAGACCAAAACATGAATTTCTAAATAAGTTACATTTTTGCAAATCAGCATTCAGGATCTCAAAAATAAAACCCAGCGATACTTTTTTAAATATTGCGTACTATATCTTGGCAACATCAACTGTAATGTAACTGCAGGCCACAGCCAGTCTTTTCTAAGACCGTCAAAATGCAATTTAGTGACTATGTATAGCAGGGAAGGGCAACTTCGGTCCTGGAGTGCCACCTACTGTCCTACATACAGAGTTTAGCTCCAACTCTGAAAGAAATAAACTCTGTAGGACAGTGGGTGGCCCTCCAGGACCGAAGTTGCCCATCCCTGATGTATGCTGCTATGACTATGAGCCATTAAAAAAGTGGGGGGGGAAAAAACGTTTTAAAAATGTGGTATATTTCAAAAACAACATCTAAATCAGTCGCTGTCAAATGTGAACTTTAGAAAATACTTTTTAAAATTTGAAAAAGCAGAATTTGCTGGAAAGTTGAGCAACCTTGTATAAAATAAAAATAAAAACTACACAACTGTGAACAGTGTGATGATGAAAATCAAGTCTTGTATACGATCTTCACCCTTGCTGTCCTTTTAAATAAGGCATTTTCTTCTCTTCGCTTCATGATATCAACTGAAAAACAAGAAATTTACCCATTAGAACAGCTTCTTATTGACCAATCGATTAAAAAATACAGGATTATCACATTGGAGGTACTTACACTTTTAACTGTAGTCCGGATAAATTCCTTTCTGCTGGTCAGATCAAACTCTGGATACTTGTCATAAACCTACAACAAAGAAAAAGTTCATAAATTATTTGGAAACTTTTCAGGTTGTCAAACTTTTAGGGCTGTAGTCAACCAAAGAAATCCTTAGTCGAACAAAGACCTGTCCTGCGCAACGATCAGTCGACTTAAAAAAAAAAAAAAAAAAGACGCAATGTTTTGCATTTTGATTGAACATTTATTTAACAATTGTCACAGAACATTTATAAAACAACGGAAAAAACACCAATAATACATACCATAATAATAATACAATTCATTGAAAAAGAAGTGATTTTTTTAACTGCAAAGTGAGAAGCTCTGTCCTAGATAATTATAATAATTCATTACATTTATATAGCGCTTTTCTGGACACTCAAAGCGCTTCACATAGAGGGGGGAATCTCCTCAACCACCACCAGTGTGCAGCAGATGATGCGACGGCAGCCATAGTGCGCCAGAACGCTCACCACACACCAGATTATTGGTGGAGAGGAGACAGTGAAGAAGCCAATTGCTGTATATGGGGATGATTAGGAGGCCATGATGGACAAAGGCCACTGGGCAAATTTGGCCAGGATGCCGGGGTTACACCCCTACTCTTTCGAAAGACATCCTGGGATTTTTAATGACCACAGAGAGTCAGGACCTCGGTTTAACGTCTCATCCGAAGGACGGTGCTCTTTTGACAGCATAGTGTCCCCATCACTATACTGGGGTGTTAGGACCCACACAGGCCACAGGATGAGCACCCCCTGCTGGCCTCGCTAACACCTCTTCCAGCAGCAACCTGGTTTTCTCAGAAGGTCTCCCATCCAGGTACTAACCAGGCTCCGCCCTGCTTAGCTTTAGTGGGCAATCAGTCTTGGGCTACAGGGTGATATGGCTGCTGGCCGTAGATCTATAGTGACAATCGCACACCAGACCACACCACACGCTACAAAAAATATAGCTGCCGACCTAGGCGTTTTAAAACAAACACAAAAAAAACAAATAGCCTAAAAAACAAACCTAATAATAATGGGCTGAAAAATAATTAGTCAAGTGTACAAAATAAATAAGAACAAAAGGCTACTTACAGATCTGCAGGCCTAGCATACCTTTTCATGTTGTGGGCCAAAAACACTAACATGTCCACATTCTTGGGTAAAAGACAGCTCCTCGACTTGTTAACAATAAATCCTGCTTTGGAAAATATGTGCTCTGCAGGAGTGGAGGTTGCAGGGATGCAGAGCAGGCGTTTGGCTGCCCGAGCAAGACGCGGATATCTCTGCTCATTATTTTTCCACCACGCAAGTGGCCCAGCAGTGTCCACTCTACTTCTGTCCTGAAGATAATCTTTCATTTCATCCCAAGAGGATCTTTGTGCACTTGGCTCGTCATGGTCATCCTCCGCATCATGTCCACAAAGAAGCATTGCTATCTCCTTCTCTTTTGACGTTTTCTGTTTTTTTGCCAACGGGTCCTCATCATCCCCTGTGTGCTCTATGCTGTCTCCTGAGAGGCTTAGACTTTGTGCAAGTTTCACGACTTCAGAATAGGCCTCATCCCGTTTCTCATCATTAAGAAAAGGTAGCTGTTTGAAGCGCGGGTCTAGTACTGCAGCTAAAATGTAAAAGCTGCGGTCTTTGAGTTTCCATCGACTATCCATTTCCTGCACAAGCTTGAGTTTCATCATCTTCTTTGTTTGACTATCATTATCTGTGACAGCAAGATGACATTTTTTAAGATTCTCAAGCATTGGGAAGGCCGCAGACAGGGATGTGCTAGTCTCCTCCGACAACAGCTCGGTCAGCGTAATAAAGGGCTTGAGAACGTCTGTGATGTCTTCAGCCATATTCCACTGCTCTGTTGTCATGTCCAAAGTGCTACTGTCACGACTCTTAGTGTAATTGGGGTCCGATAAAACGGCGGCGATGGGCCAGCGCTGCTCCAACAGTCGCTCCAACATAAAGCAGGTGGAGTTCCACCGGGTGGCCACATCCTGGATGAGTTCGTGCTCAGGAGCTTTTTGCTGCACCTGTTTCTCTTTGAGACCCGTTTTTGCCTTGTGTCCCTTTTTGAAGTGCCCAACAAGACGGCACGCTGCAGCCACCGTGCGCGACACCGGGTCTTCTTTTAACGCAGCATTTACGCACAGCTGCAGGGTTTGGCCTGCACATCTAACCAACTCCACGTCTGGCCACTGACCGGATGCCTTCAGTAATTCCACAGAGAGGACCATGTTGGCAGCGTTGTCCGTTACCACTGACACCCGCTTCTCTGGTGGAATGTGGTAGGTGTCGGCGACTTGAGTGAGTCGCTGTGCAACATTTTCTCCCGTGTGTGCTTCATCCATCTGCTTTGTTTCCAACACAAAACTATTCATCTTCCAATCAGCATCGATAAAATGGGCCGTAACAGTCATGTACGCCTCCATTCTTAACGAAGACCACAAATCAGTTGTGAAGCTTACAGCCTCGGAGGATTGGAGTAACTGGTTTACATTTACTTTAAGTCCATCAAACCGTGAACGTAGCGCACGCAAGACAGTCTCCCGTGCTGGCACAGTATATCTTGGCTCGACGATTTTAAACATGTTCTTAAAGCCCTCTCCTTCCACTGTGTCGACTGGCCTCATATCTTGGGCGATGTAATGCACAATCCCCTTAGTGATGTCCTCCTTTCTCTTCGCCGACAGAGGATGGACCAACTCCGCCTGTGGCATGGTCTGGGGATGCGCCGAGTACATATTAACCAATAAAATATATTAAACATATATAAACATTAGACGCAGCAAGTTGTCTGACACGCGTATATATCGCTTATCCGCTTTTAGGTGATAGGCCACATTGGTCGTTGAGCTGTGGTACGTTAGCTTTAAGCCGCATAGCTTGTGCTCCAGTCTTGTCGTCTTTTTTTGTAAAATGCAGCCAGACAAAAGATTTAGATTTGTTGGCCATTTTGTCAACTAAAGCCAAAACAAGTATTGCTTCTAACTGACTGTAAGTATTTGAGTTCTAACTGAATGAATACAGCAAAACTACCTATATTCTTTACTGAGCGCGGGAAGCAGCAGTGCTGCCAGCCACAGGTGCGCTTCCCGAGTGTTCTACGTGGTGCGCTAAACTCTGGCGCTGTTACAAAAATAGCCTAAATTAAAGCATTTAAAGTTGGGCATAAAACATAGGATAATTATATTTAGAATACAGTTATATCTAACTTATAAAGGAATAAATCAATGAAAATTTCTTTCAATTGGTAAAAACAAAAACAACGTGTCGACCAATGAGAATGTCAGTCGACCAGGATGGCATCGACCGATTAGTCGACTAAACAACTAAAGTTGACAGCCCTACAAACTTTAGTGGAACATGTTCATATCTATTGTGGTGAAATACACCTGCATGAACTTTAATGTGCAAAAAGCGATTTCTGAGAATCACTGGCTACGTTTAGATGCACAACTCTAGCTTCAATTGAATTGATGAATCCGAATTGATCAATTCGAATTGATGAGTGTTTACGTGATCAGGTTGATGTGCATGTTTATATGTCACAAGCTTAAAATCAGAATAGATTTTTTGACATGTGCACACTGCATGATTATACAGTTTCCTGCTGTTTGTGCATAATAACCATTCTCCTACACTGGATCTTTACTTGTTTTAAACAGCAGACTTAATCCTTAATTATGACCATTTCTGGTCATAATTTGGAGACCATGAGCATATGAACGTTTGTGCCGTGCTGCTTATTTATAACGCTGTAAAAATGTCCCTCCCTGCGCCCGAAAAGTCATCTGTGGATGAGAATCCATAGTAGTAGTAGTTGAGTTTATTGCCGTATCAGGATCACCGGCTACATGGCAAATATATATTAAACATTTAAAAACATAATATTATAAGTATAACATAATTAAAACAAACTTTCAGTTTAGGTTTTCAATCCAATCAAGTGTTTGCATGCCCTCGCGCCACTAGGGGGCCTCGCAATCCAGCCGGGTTAAAAAAAAAAATAATAATAAAAAAAAAAGAATAAAACAGGAAAAAAATTGTATAGAACAAAAATAGGTAACGGAAAAAAAGTCAAATGCAAAGTTTGCAAGCAACAGTTTGCATATCGCTGCTCAACTACAAACATGGCATTTCACCGAAAAAAGGTGAGCTAAAGCCTAGTTCACAAATTTTAAGACAGATTTGCAAATCGTTGAGCTCGCAGACAGGTCAGGGTGTTACCGCATACAAACCGCGGGGGATTAGCGGGCGATGAACGCTCGTCAATCTGTTAGTATGAAAGAGCCAACAACGCATCAAAGACGCCCTCAGACGCATCGCCGAGCCCAGAAAAATATCTAGCATGCTAGATATCCAGAGCTGTCGCACGGCTCAACCTCAGTGATGTCATGAACTACAGCCAATCGATGGTATTGCATAATTGTGCTGTGTTTGTTTTGAGCCAGTAAAAAATAATAATAAGTTAATGATCTCCATTCGGGTGATTATCCACTTATCATTATTTAATCTACCCACAAACTAAATTTACACTCAATTCAAATCTTTCCAAATCTTTTACAGGCCTGGAAATTGTAATTTAAAAATTCCATGACTTTTCCAGGTCTTTTCCAGGAAAAAGCCATTTTGTTCCCGATAAATGCTTCGAAATAACATACTTGTCGGGTAATCTGTTTCATTGTAACTTCCTCCAAGTTTGCATCTTTCAGGAGATCCTGGATCGCCTCCTTCAACTGGTCATCAGTTGGTGGTTTTTTAAGCATCTTGATCAATGGCTGATCATCATCAGAGCTTTCACTTTCATCTGGATGAAAAAATTCAGCATGTCAAAACCAAAATTCGGCAAAACCAACGTGTCTAGTTGCCGTTTTGATATGATGCATGTCATTTTAATTCTAGACAAAAAGGAAAAAAACTTTTGGTATTGCATCTGGAAGAATTTGCTGCATTATTACCCTTGATCTTGCTTGCCATCTTTTTCCTTTGGTTGCTGCTGCTGTCAGCTTTCTTGGATTTAGGGACAGGCTTTGCTGGAGCTTTTCTCTTTGCCGGAGCTTTTCTCTTTGCTGCAGGCTTCTTGATTGTCTAGAAATAAGTTGGCAATTATGATGTCAGTTTTAATGCAATTATCAAATATGTATATAACTGCATGGAAAAAAACAGTTGGAATAACTTAAAACATTTCTGGAGCATCAGCAGATTTAAAGTAAATCTAAATCAGTAAATCTAAAGTGCAACAAAAATTGCTACAAGCTACAAAGAGCTTGAATTTATTTTAATTGTTTTAAATTTTTTTTTTTTTAATTCAGAATTAAAAATTATTAGCAAAAAGTGTTCAAAACTTTTTTACAGTCTTGTCTTCATGAACATCTTGGTCACTGTCATCTGATGTAGTCTGATCTGACTCTTGGTCAGATTTCTTTGTGGACTTCATGGTGGAAGATTTCTTTTTCTGAGGAGATTTCTGTTGATTTGCAGACAAAACAAAAGCAAGTGTAAACAAAGTATGATTGCCTATAGATGGGCTGAACTATAAAACCATAAATGTGGGGAGAATTTATGTTAAAATCTTTGTCATGTGTGTCACATTTCCATAGTCAACTAAAACTCAGAAATGTTATGGTGTCAAAATGTAAATTTGTTATTTTATTCAGAGGGGGTTCAAAACTCTTTTTGGAAAGACATAGTTTTAATTTTGATCACATTAAGCTTCAAATGACCTTATTGTTATTTAGCATTTTTGCTGACATATACCTGATTCACAGTATACCAAAACTACAAGCTCAAATAAGTAGAGATGCACCAGTCGACAGCCCATAAATAAAAAATAAATAAAAACTTTCCTTCTATTTTGGCTGATCTGATCTCTAACGGACTTGTACACAGACTGCACTGCAATCATTACCCAAATCTAATTTGTGCGAAACATTTGCAAAGTCTGTAAACAGGACATTATCATAGGCCAGAGACGGGACATGCTGAAGATGGAAGCAAAGAGTCATGACTGGGGCATCCCAACAAATAAGCTTGAATTTATTTTAACAATTTTAAAAGATATTTCACAGTGCAATTATTACTATTAATTGTTTATGTCCAACCTTTTTTACAGTCTTGTCTTCATGAAAGTCTTGGTCACTGTCATCTGATGTAGTCTGATCTGACTTCTTGTCAGATTTCTTTGTGGACTTCATGGTGGAAGATTTCTTCTTCTGAGGAGATTTCTGTTGATTTGCAGACAAAACAAAAGCAAATGTAAACACAGTATGATTGCATATAGATGGGCTGAACAATAAAACCATAAATGTGGGGAATTTATGTTAAAATCTTTGTCATGCGTGTCACATTTCCATTGTCAACTAAAACTCAGAAAGGTTCTGAAGGTGTCAATTGTAATTTTGCTATTTATTTCAGAGGGGGTTCAAAATGTTTTGGAAAGATATAGCAGTTTTCAGTGTTTTCAAATTAAGCTTCAAATGAACAAATTGTTATTCAGCATTTTTGCTGACTTACAGCACCTAAATTACAAGCTCAAATAAGTATAGATGCAACAGTCGCCCATACATTGAACTTGTTTTTTTTTATTTTTTGACTTGCACACAAACTGCACTGCAATAATTGTCCAAAATGTAATTTGTGGGGAAATATTGCAAAGTCTGTAAACAGGACATTATCACAGGCCAGAGACGGGACATGCTGAAGAGATGACAACACAGAGGTGCCAGCAGAGGAAATACTGTATCAGAGAACGCAAGCTCAAAATGCTTGAAATTTTGCAAGAAAAATATAAATATTGAATTTAGGGTGGGGATTTATATGAATGTACAAGGGAACTGATTTTCTTCAGAAAAGAAAATGCAATCGAACCTTTTCCTCTTACCCCCATTTAATACCTATTAAAGTTGTGTTTATAAGCACAACAAAATTTGACAATTTGAATCAGCCTTGAAAAGCCATGACTGGTGCATCCCTACAAATAAGCTTGCATTAATATTAAAAATGTAAAATATATTTCAGAATGCAATAATATTACTAGTAATGCATGTTTGTGTCCAACCTTTTTTACAGTCTTGTCTTCATGAACGTCTCGGTCACTGTCATCTGATGTAGTCTCATCTGACTTTTGGTCAGATTTCTTTGTGGACTTCATAGTGGAAGATTTCTTCTTCTGAGGAGGAGATTTCTGTTGATTTGCAGACAAAACAAAAGCTAATGTAAACACAGAATGATTATCTATGGATTGCCTGAACAACATAAATGTGGAGAATTTGTTTAAAATCTTTGACCACACAAGTGTCACCTATAACACCCAGAAAAGCAAAAGAAACATTTCACTCACTTCTTCCTCGTCGCTGTCTTCTACAGGAGCATGAAAATCAGTCACTTCATCAGAAGATTTATCTTCACTATCTTTATTTCTTTGACTTGCTGTGCCTGACTCCTCAGTGCTCTTACTGTTCTCTTTACTCTCTTCTTCTTCATCATCATCATCGTCGTCGTCATCATCATCACTGCTGGTATCAGAGACAATGGGTTTGGACTTTCCACTTTCTACTTTTTTCTGTGGCTTTTTACTTTTGGATGAAGATTTTTCTCTTTTGGCATCTTTGGTCGTCTTCTTTTTCTTCTTAAGAACAGGCTGCAGAGGATATCAACAACACAGTCATTGGCAACAGCAAAAGAAAAACTCTTCAGACATTTAATTTTCAGCAGTACATTGGCATTAAATGTGTATTGTTATTGTTCAGAGAGAAAGATCGCACCTTTCCCGAGTTGGTTGGCTGTAAAAGAAACCTCATTATCCTCTCAGAAAGAACAATTTGCGTTCCACTCCTCTCCAGATCAAGAGTCTGACACATGGTTTTGAGCAGTCCCTTTTGAAGCCTGCCAGAAAGAAAAAAATCATTATCACGCCCACTTTAAACCAATCACAACTTAATTATCGGACTTATAATAAACTACTGATGGCTTCATTATGTGCTTGCACATGGGCGTCACATCACAAAACTGAAATATGAGCAAAAACATAATTGTCAAATACATATACATATATACAGTATTTTTATTTATCAGTACATCAGACATGGCAAAAATTATTTCATAATTTCTGTTTTCATGCTTTGATTTACAATGGATGGATGGATATACAGCAGTCAATATACTTACTTTTTCAATTTCTCCACCTTTTTGTTGTAAAGTTCACTGTCCGGCCCAAAAGGAAATCCATTAAATAGCCGAAGATTTTTTCGCAGAGCTGATGCCTGTAAGAACATTAATCAGCATTATTAAGCTAATATCAATCTGTTACATTTTTCTTTAGCCATTTGTTTGTAAAGCGAGTTCTCAAACTAAACCTTACAGTTCCCGGTCGGTCATATACAATGTTATGCAGAGGTTTGAGCAGAGGGACTTTAAGCTTTCCGATGGAGTGATTAATCCGTGCAATGTCTCCCAGTTTGTCACCTCTTCCTGTACTCTCAATCTTCAGCTTTTCTTTCGGTCTACACATTAAATCAAGTCTCTGGATGATTTTCTTCTCCCGTTTTCCTTCAAGAATTTCTGGTTCGACTGAAAAGACAATTACAAAAGGACAATGATGGTAACTTTTGAGTGGGCAAGCTTCATTTAATTTATGAGCATATGACAATTAAATAAAAGCTCAATACAAAGTTATATTGCTTAACATTAATTGACATCATGAATAACATTTCTTGAAAGAATAGGTTTGGCATCTATTGTTGGCATTATTCAACTTACACAATTTGTATCTGGGTTTAGGTGTTTCATCCTGCTCTGCATCATCAGATGGACTCTTCTTCCTTTTCTTCTTTTTCCTCTCCTCCTCCTCTTCTTCTTTTATGCTGTTTTCCTCTTCTTCTTTTATTCTGTTTTCTTCCAGGAAAGTATCAGGAAGATCCTCATTCTTGACAGCTACGATTTCTTTACTCATGACTGGAATTATGTTAGTTTATTCCTAGATTAGATCAAAGAACGGTGTTGTAATCGTCAAATTCAACAGTATACAATAGTAGAAGTATTACCGATATAATTTACATACACAAACGACAGCTCTATTCGACGACGCATATCACATCAAGAACAGTGAGTGCACTGTTACTGCTGAAACGAATTTGGCGCGTGTTTGTATCCCAATTGTAAAAAGCACAGACACACACCTTTAGCATGCTAGTAAGATATAAATTTACGACCAAATGCAAGGTAAACTGGTGAGAATGTAAGATATATATAAGCAAACGTGAGTGAAAAATCTAACTTTTTCGTTTACATGACTTAAGTTAAAGCTTTAAGGCGGCGCGAGATTGATAGCACAGACTAACGTTAGCTTATTTGTCACGCCTACTAGCTCACCAAAACACAATTATATTCCCTTTTGCAACAACAAATTATGACAAGACCTGCCTTCGTGTAAAGTAAACGTAACGTCAGAAAAGTAACGTTATACAGCTTATAAAACCCATACATTTATACTTTAATATATATACTTACTGTGTGTTGCTCCCTATTGGTGGTGATGCGTGCGCAGTAAACATGGCGTTTGAAACGAAAGGGCGGGCTATCACGTGACCACGGGATAATAATTAAATTCATATTAAAAGGACATGTCGCAAAAATAGGCCTACAATTCTTACACTACAAATTAGTATGGCTTTATTTCTTCTTTGGGTATTTAGGCTGAATGATCATTTTAGTCAATATTCACTTTCGTTGCGTGGACAAGTGTAGGTGACTGAAGCTGCCTGACAGTAACATATTTACATGTTCTCTAACATGTTTGTTACATGAGGCTAAGTAAATTATATGTGTGTGGCATTAAAAAAAATATTGGGACTACTTTATAATGTATAATATTTCATTTAGGACCAGATAAAGATAAAAGTTCAGATACAATGTCTGGACATTTGAATTTAAACCGCCTATTTTCCATAAAATATATTTAAGTAATTAAGTTTTCTCACTGTAAAGAAAGGGAATTGTATTTTTACATTAGTTTTTACATCTGATTGATTTGATGGCAGCAATATTTTTACCACCAGCAGGGGGCAACATGGTAAAAGCTATTGTATAATGTGAACCAGTAAAAATAGCATTTCAACAGTCAGTATTCACTACATTTGGTGCATGCAATATTTATCACATAATCACATTGCATGTTACATGCAGCAAGTATTTTTTATTAAGTAGTCATTTAGCATTTTAAATTGTGTGTATAAATGTTACATTATTAATCAATGATCAAACAAGGAATCAAGAAAAAAACATGTTAAAGGTCATAGCTAAATACAACACTGTACAAGTCTTTATGTGCACAGCAATAGTAATAGTAAAATATAGCTGCGAGCAGCGATGGCGGGCCCAAGCCGGAGGCACCGCAACCCCGGTTCCTTTAGTTACCTAAATGCACCCGGGTGGCGGTGCCGAAGGCTTTGGCCCTTTCATGATTAAATGTTAAAACGGCTTGCCATACTCTGTCATTTCGACTAGTCACAATTATGTTACAGATATCTTAAATGATAATACAAACTATCCAAAGTGTAACGACTAGACAGAAAGACGTTGTTGATATCTACAATGTTAATTCCGGACAGGCAAACTTAGCTTTTAAATGTTAAAAGGGCTTGCCATACAGGGACGTAGGCTCAGAGAGAGGCTCACCATATTCAGACCAAAATATCTGACTTCCTCTTGGTCCGAGCTAATGACTAAGTATTAGAAAGTTGTACGGCTTGAGGAGTACAATGTACATACCGATTTTTGTAACTGTAGATAAAACTAACAAACCCACTTTTAAGTATATATATGGTGCCTTTAGTGTTATTCTGCACGACGTGCAAAAACTTAACCCCCGCTTTTTTAAGTATATATATATATATATAAATGTTTTATATATATATATATATATATATATATATATGTGTATAGATATATATACATATAAAGAGGGTTATTCTGCACGACGAAGAGAAGAGAAGTGTGCAGAAGAGCTTGCATCAGTGAGGGCTTTGCAAAATATATAATCATACAAACACACACACACACACATATAAATGAGGTTAGTGTTTTACAATATTAAGGAAAGCAAATGTATTGAAATATAGCACATTAATTTTAAATTCATTCAGCTTCAATTACCAATTTGTAGTTTACCAATTTATCTTACTTTTATTTAAAGCAAACTATACATTTAAAAGATTAGGGTTATATGCATATTTTGTCATTTAAAAAAATACAAAATTGTTATGCAAAAAGATAAGGACTTGCAGAAAAAATCTACAGTCAGCCACACACACACACACACACATAAACGCAGACACCAGCAACCCCCCCCCCCTCCCTCTTCCCCACACAGACACTGATAGAGACAAGATACACATCCAAACTGCAATATCTGACTTTCTTTTGGTCTGAGCTTCTTACTGTTAATTAGAAAGTTGATCAGCTTGACAAGAACAATATACGTGGCATGTTTTGTAACTGTAGGTAAAACGAGCAAAGTTAACACATTTTATGTGTCCTTTTTTAGTCATAAAATTATTTTCCTCGCCACGGCCAAACCCTTCGAGATATCAAAAATCCGTCCGGAATTGAGCATCCTCAATGTCTTGACTTCATGCACACCGAGTATGGTGGTGATTGGTAAACACATGCGTTGTAATTTGATGTATTTCTCCTAGGAGATTTATTCAAACAACACATAATTCCCAACTTCCATTTGAACTGCCTTAAAACTTAGAGCAGAGATGGGCGCAGGTCACGCAAGTCTCAAGTAAGTCTCAAGTCTTAACCGTCAAGTCTCAAGTAAGTCCCAAGTATTTTTTTTGGGGGGGAGGGCAAGTCAAGTCAAGTCACAGGCTATGTCAAGTCAAGTCTTGTAGTAGGTTAAGTCAAGTGCAAGTCAAGTCACCTTATTATTTTAATTTTACATGCAGAATCTGATCTTAATAAAATGAAAAGACAAGATAAGTATTTGCCAGTAAATTACAATAATTTGCATTGTAAATACTCATGTTCAGTAAAATACACCATGGAATCAAACAAAATTGTAACTTCATAAAATTATTTATTTTTCACTTCTGCCAACAGTGTGTTTGAAATGTTTTAAATTTTCAACTTGAGTCCATAAAACAAATAACAGCTTAACATCCTACAGACTCTCTGAACACCTCCCTCTCTCTCAAACACAGTTTACAAACAATATTAAACTTTGTTACATTTCTCCTCTCTCTCTCTCTCTCTCTCTCTCTCTCTCTCTCTCTCTCACACACACAGTGGCGGTTTTAGACCATTTCAACTGGGGGGGCCAAGCTGGGGCCAGTTGTACTGTTAGAGGGGCCAGTTACATTTAGACCTTATCATTTTCTGCACTGCACTGAAGGCATAAATAAGCAAAATACCATGTTTATAATTATCCAACAATTTGCATTTCCATTATATTTTTACATTTGCATTACATATATCAGTCACAGTAGCTGTATTTGAATTTCCATTTTATTTTTTTACATTGAATATACAGTATGTGTATATATATATATATATATATATATATATATAATTTTTACAAATTAATCTACGATTTTTGTTGGTTTTTTTTTTTTTTTTTTTTGCAAAAAGATCAGCAAATTATCCTCTAAACTGGCCTTTTTAGGGGGCTTTCCTCTCAGGGTGAATGAGCTTTTTTATAATTGTTTTTTTCCTGACATCTTTGAAAGACAGAAGCAATAATTAATGCATCCTTGGCCAGGATATAATTATAAAATATGACATGATTTTAAAAGTGACCTATAAAATCGACTATGCAATACACTTTAATTTATCTAGTGCTAATAAAATTATTAAGCCTATTTGGAGAGAGAGATGTTTTAAAATCGACTATGCATTACACTTTAATTTATCTAGTGCTAATAAAATTATTAAGCCTATTTGGAGAGAGAGATGTTTATAATGTGACAATATGTCAGTCATCATGATTCGTGTAATAAGATGACTAGGCCTAGACTACTTGTTCTGAGCAGGTGTTGTCATTGAACAGGCTGTAAAACTGTTGTCTAAGTTACAGACTGATACTAATTAAATGGGAAACAAATCGATTACCTAACGTAACCTCGGTTCTCTCTAGATGAGGGAACGAGCATTGCGTAAGCTAGCTTACGCTACGGGAAAGATTCATCTTACATCAGTCAAGTTGTCATAGTTTTTGTCAAACAAGTTGTGAATTTGTTGTAACATTAAAACAGGAGATCATGACTTACTCCGTGCTCCAAGTGATGTTCGGAGCTCCAGTGATTAGTTTCATCTGTGGGACGGGTGAAGAAACTTTCGGAAGATGTTGTAACAGAATCATATGAACAATTCCAGGATATGCTTTTTTTCATTGGTTGTTGCGTTAAATTTTACCCAGATACAATAGTGCCCTTTTCTGATTGGCTATTAAGTAGCGCTTCTCTTTTTTTGATTGGCTGATGCGTAGCAGGGTCGACTGCTGAACTCCAGGCGAGACGCGCTTGATTCTCACGTGAGAGCGGCGCGGCCAGAGAAATTGCGTATATTAAATATATTATTAATAGTTTTTCCGCATGAGAAATACAATGTGTGACGGGAGTGTGAGACAAAAGACTGAAACGAGTGACTGTCATGCTCAATGCGTGACACACTATAAAAAAAATATTTCACACTGACTCCACATTTAGGGGGGCCACAAGGGGGTCCAAGCTTGTTGTCGCAGGGGCACTGGCCCCCCCAGGCCCCCGCCTAGAACCGCCACTGCTCACACACACATACACACACACACACACACACACACTTTCTCTCTCTCTCAAGAAGCAAAAACATGACTGCTAAAGGTTGTATCAGCGATGCCGGGGTAACATCACTTAACATCACGAGTGATATTCCCTTAGGCCACGCCCCCTTGTCTCCCCAAAGTATTATAAGCAATCATGCGCATCCCGTGTGCAGAATGATGCACTTGAAGCAACACCAAGTCACAGCACGCAACGCTTCACATTGAAAAGAACATAGCGAAGGGATGGTATCTATAATCTATGCTTAGTAGGGCTGCACGATTTGGGAAAATGTCATATTGCCATTATTGAGCCAATATTGCAATTGCGATTTGCGACTCCGATATAATAAAATGGTTTCATGAGTCCAACTTGCTTGGTTCTAAAGTAAAATGCACACACAGATTAATGTTTATTTCTCAACTCAAACTAAAAACAACAACAACAATAAATGATTGATAACACCTATAATGATCAATAAACCATCAACCAAACCAACATTACAGTGATTCCATCAATTGAAAGCCATCAACTTTTTAAAAAATTATTAGGCTTAAAAAAAATATATAACAGCTTTTAAATTAAGTGAACTTCAAACAATCCCCACATAAACCCATAATAACAAACATATTTACCTGTGCCCTTCCTGTCTTAACAGGTACAGAAATTGAATAAAGTTATCAAACAGTCTGCACTGCCTGAATCATAAATTATATATATAATAATCCTTATTAAAGCTACAAAAGTTCTTTACTCAAGATCAGTGAGTAATTTTCTAATTTCCCTTTGTTCTTTTAACTTTACTGAAAGAACGCTTTATTCGCTGCTGGCCCTTTAAGAGAACCCGTTGCCGAGACGCGGATCTCACACGCGCCTCATAGCACAACTCTTTTCATCCAGACTTTTCTTATGTTATGAAGATACTAGACAAAACCACATTTGGCATAATTGTGTGTGCTATTGTTCGTTCAAGCTCGAAAGAGAACTGTTTATTCTGGGCTGGCACACGGTCAGTGCATGCGCATTATGCGAGTATCATCTATTCTAATCTAGGGCACTCACAGGCAGCTTTTCACTTCTTGTCGTGCAAAATGCGAAAAGGCATTTAAACCAATAAGAGGGGGATCTTGTAACACTAGTCAAAGGATGACAAAAAAGAAGAGATGCTGCGCTAATAGCCCTACTTTGTTTATTTCATATAAAATCGCGGCATTTTGCGTTATATAATTGTATAGGTTTGAGATCGCTATTACGACTGCGATATAATTAATCGTGCAGCACTAATGCTTAGTGTATTCTAAAGGGCAATAAACTCCACTCCAGCAAGATAGTCATTTTATGCAAATCATAGACCTTTATGCCTTATCTACAAATAAAGTATAATATTGGGAACATTGATCTTGAAGAGAGTGTCGTCGTGTTACTGTCGCAACCGAACGCGACGCGCTAATGCTGATGCATGGAGAATGACTGAGGCGAGATGACTTTCCGTTAACTTTAACTTAGAGACTAAAATATTAATTTTACCACACATTAAGCTATTGAATGACTTTAGAAGTCTTGGAATATAGTGTGAAAACTTGATTGTGCTTTAAAGTTTTTTATGCCTTTAGTGGGGCTTAACAAAATAACACAATATGCAGAATGTCGGACGTCACTTATAGGCTAAACTGTTTTTATAGATAAAACTATTTACATTCGGCAGTCATGAAAACAAATCTCAGATAACGGTTGACTAGGTAACAATGTGTAATTTTGCGCCGGAGTTCTCCTTTAACTTACATTAGCTAGCTAACTACGAACGAGCTAACCAGCTAACATTAACAAATTGACAAGCACTTACTGGGCAGGCTCTTCAAATGACGGACGAAATTGGAGGTTGTCATCTGACTGTCCGCGATCTTAACGTTGCATGTCTTGCAAAGCGCTGTTCTTTTGCCATCTTGTTGTAAGAAATTCTTGAATCCGAAAGCGACCCTCGGTATCCCTCCGGCTGACATGTTGATGTGATCTGATGTAAGTGGGCGTGGTGTGCGCGTAAGGTATGAGAGGGCATGACTGATGATCTCTGATCCAGTCATGACAGCGCTATTCTCAGCCTGCGCTCCAGCTGGATCAACTTTATTTTTTTTACATAATTTATATATTTTATATTCAAACTGAAAACATGATGTGATTAACGCTCAAGTCATATTATTACATGCAAGTGTGTTTGATTTATGGACCAAATTTTCAGATCAAGTTTATGGACCAAGTTAATTTAATTAATAAACTAATTATATAAAACTATTAATGCACTACAATTAAACTGGTTATATGCCTTTACTTATAAAAAATAAAAAACTTATTTAAAAAAATACCAGGCTTAAGGCATTTATTTTTTATGCAGGCCATACACACAGGAGTGAAATGGTTAAGACCCCTCCCCCTACAAACACACACACATAAACAGACAGGCAAAGACAGATGTAGGCTCAGATTGAGCAAGACCACATTCAAACAAACATATCTGACTTTCTGTGGGTCCTAGCTAATGAGTGTCAATTAGAAAGTTGTCCGGCTCGAGGAGTACAATATACATACCGATTTTTGTAACTGTAGATAAAACTAACAACCCCACTTTTGTCAAAAGGTGGCGCTACTGAGCCCTCACCACGCCCGTTTCTGAAACTTTGCACGTGTCTACTGGCTAATAAATGTGATGTGTCTGTCGAGTTTCATGCAATTTCAAGCATGCTAAGGGTCTCAAAAGCATCCTAAAAGAATGGTAACGTTTGATGCGTCGCCACGGCAACAGTTTCAAAGATATCAAGAATCCATTCACAGGTCTACATCTGCCGTATGTTTACATTATACAGATGACGTTTGAAGCAAATCGGGTAAAAATAAAAGGGTGATATCGAAGCATTTTGAAAGTGACACACTTCCTGCTGCCAGTTGGTGGCGCTATAACTTTGACTCACAATAGTCACATCCATGTGATCGTCCTCTTACAGCGAACACACTGCTGAAGTTTCATCAAGATCAGTTAATGTATGCTGAAGTTATAACACACTTCCTGGTTCACGTTTCTCGTCATGATTTCGTTTCCTCGCCACGGCCAAACCGTTCGAGATATCAAAAATCCCCTCGCAAACTTTCATCCTCAATGTCTTGACTTCATGCTGACCGAGTTTTGTCGAATTTGGATCAAAGCTCTAGGAGGAGTATTTAACATTCCATTGCGAGCGTTTTACAAACAAACTTCAATAGCCGACTTCCTGTTGGGCTGCGGTAAAAAGTAAAAGCGCGAGGTATAGATGAAACTATGAGATCAACATGTGCACCGAGTTTCATATTATTATATACAAACTTGTTTGAGTTATGGACCAAGTGTTCGGACCCCGTTCCAGGGGGCGCTGACGAGCCGCCCTGCCACGCCCGGGTACCAGCTTCAGCCCGGCTCTGATGGCCGCGGGTTCTGACCCATGTGCAAAGTTTCAAGAGTTTTCGAGCACGTTAAGGGCCCCAAAAATGCCCAAAAGGTTACAAAATAATAATAATAAATAATCCTTAGGAAAACAATAGGGCCTTCGCCCTTTCAGGGCTTGGGCCCTAATTAGAGTAGTTAAGTAGATAGTATGGGCTATATGCACGCATAAGTTCCGCATTTGACGTAAGGATGCTCGTCTATTTCCGGTTGTGTAGATTAAAGCGGAGGAAAACCGGAGAAAACGGGATTATGGCAGAGTCTTCAATATTTACTGTCCTCCCGTCTTTGAAACGAAACGTACATACGTTTAGATGTAATTTTATATATAGTTATGTTTATTTAATATAATTTTAAAAAGAAGCATAAACACAACGAGGGGTGTCTGTTTTATCTGTTTTTGTGACTAACGTTTCATTAGTATAACCATGGAGTATAAAATTCAATATAAATTCTCGGTATTGCATTGGACTCTATGATCGGCGGAAGTTATCGAGCATCCCTAATGCTTCACCGGAAATAACGCCGTGCATAGAGCCCATTCTGTTCTGATCACATATCTCCCACCACACAATGATGATCCATCTCATCTGCTGATTCAGTAATTACTCATTCATTCATTCATTCATTCATTCATTCATTCATTCATTCATTCATTCATTCATTCATTCATTCATTCATTCATTCATTGACACATGGTCATGCAATTATTAAGGCCTGCAGTGAAATTAGCAATTGTCTAATCCAGTAGATTGCACATTTTATCCAATGTTCAAGTTGTTACACAGAAAAAAAATAAAGGTTCAAATGGGTTCTTTCACGGCGATTACATAAAATAACTTTTAAGATAACCTTTCAGTGAACAGTTCTTACTGTAAAAGAACAGTTCTTTATGTGTGAAGAATGTGTTAATAATCCAAAGAACCTTTTTTTTCTTCAAAATAAAGAACCTTTTGTGCAATAAAAATGTTCCATGGATGTTTCAAGGTCAATCAATGTCCACAAAAAACCTTGATTTTAACGGTATATTCATTTAAAACCACTAAAATCAACACCTGATGTGTTTAAGAAGAGTTTTGTGATATGTTATGCTTTTACATTGCAGGTTTACTAAACCCATGGGGCTTAATAACCCACAGTTGTGTACAGTAGAAACAGTACAATGGTACAGTTGAGACACCCATTCTTAATGCTGCAAATGTTAAACCTTTAAAATGTCAATTGTGATTAATTTGATTCCTTTTTTCTTTCCTTTTTCGACCTTTGTACCAGGGAAATGCCCTAGAGCTTTGTACATTTTTTTCTTCTTCTGAGAGTTACTTATTCCCACCATATTCCCTTCAGAACACTGATGATCAGTTTTAGGCTATAAAACATGAGTTTGATAAATCAACTTGCAGATGCATGTGTCCACTCTGTTCATACTACCCAACATGGACTTTGTTTTGAAATGTGTGGGAAAAGTTATTTGAATCAAGCGTAGGTTTAAGGTCAAAGTTGACCCACCCACGACGAACAAAAAATAGTTTGCTTTTTAGGTGCTGCGCGCACGCAGGTGTAGATCTCGTGACCGCGAAGGCTCTGATTTTTCCAGATGATTACAAAGCTTCAATTTTTTTTAACTGGTTCTGGTTGTATTAAGTGTCTGGAGTTTGTTGCCTAGCAGCCTGAAAGTGTCTCGTGATTGGTTGATAGCTCGCACTCGCTCCGTTAAAACGCTTGTGGAAAAGAAAGGTGCACGAGAGCGCGCGTCAGAACTGTTCCGAACTCTCGTGAACCTGTCAAACCTTGAGTTGCATCTGTTCTTCACGGTGAACATTTCGGATTTGAACATCACAAGTCGTTTGCACGATGTTCTTCAGTTTATCGACAGAGGATCAACATCTTTTGAAGTGGGAACAGAGTAAAGAGCCAGATGGATCCAGCTCACCTCACACAGGCGCGCGTGCTTTCAGTGTAGGCTTATAGGCTGAAGGTGGGTGTCCAGAGTTACTGGTATGCCAGTATAATGTTCTTTGTTATATATTAATACATGTTGCATTAGTTTGTTTTGCGACTTATTTAAATAAAGCTTTTTAAATAACGTTAGCCTATTAATTTATTCCAAACTAATTTTATTTCGTCTTCAGGTAGCCTGATTGTAGATGGCGTCTATCTGACACTAAATATAATAATTTAAAGTTTGAGAGATTGATATTAGTTGAATTTTATAAAATGTATTTGTTGTTGTTACAAGCTACTTTAGACCCACAAAACTCGTATTTATATTAACAAATGGGGGGCAATGCCTTCTTTTTCAACATAAATTATTAATGTTGTTAATGATGTAAACAGGACAAACACTTAATTCTAAGTTTACACAGTACAAAATATAAACCTATTTAATCAGTTATTTTAAAATGTAATTCATATGGTAACACCTGCACTGACTGGTTTTATTCAAATCTAATGTGACTGGAATAACCAATTGTCTTTAAGGATCAGATGAAACAGCAGTGCCTGCATTCATTCAATTCTTTTTACAGTGTAGCAAGGATTATTTATTTACAGTGTGTTGCTTTAAATTTAGTAAAGAAAAATAAAACTATTTTAAAACAAAATTAAATGAAATGCATCATTCCCTTTTGAAAAGTATTCTCATTCTCCACAATGTGCTCAGACCTCTATACGGTTATCCCATTGGATCTTGTTTAAAAGGTAGGCTTTAAAATGACCATCATGGCAATATTACAGAAGAGCTTACCAAAGAGAATTAATGATTACAAGAATAGTACCATTAGTTCAATAATTAGACAGGCCAGCTAAAATATTTAAATCTCAATGCAGCTTTGAAGAAGTAGGACACTGCCAAAGGCTTCTACTCCCTCCCACCGTGTCTGATGTCTGCCAGTGATGGCGTAAAAAAGAGGGAAAAAATCATTAAGGGAATTCGCTCATTCAATATACAGAGCTTTCAAGTTGGTATTACACATATCCTACTGTATACACAGACTTTCCAAACTGTCTCCTCATATCTATTAAAGTGCACATGTAGGAATAGTAAAGCAGATAGAGCACTGTAGTGTGTTATATAAAACACACGCTTCACACCACAATTAACCCAGAGTAAAGGGCACTTTTAACTTGCGTTATGAAACTTTCCTTTCGAGGCATCAAAGTGAAACAACATGCTGCTTGAATGTAATGGTGAGTTGTTGTTGTTGTTGTTGTTTTTACTCAGTGCTTTCCTCGTTAAATATTCATGTGCTTTGTACAATTGCAGAAACTGAATTTCCAGCATCTGAAGGAAACAGTAAAAAACATTGAATCGAGATTGCAAAAGCATTAACTGGAGTGATGCGAAGAGACTGTTTACAAAGATTTAAAGCGATAGTTCACCCAAAAATTAAAATTATATCACCATCACTCACCCTCATGTCATTCCAAACCTGTAACTTTCTTTCCTCTGCACTGCAGGCTTCAAAAGTAGATATTTTGACAATGTGTTTTTGTACAAAACATTGGACCCCATTGACTTGCATGGAGTGCAGTATGATGACAGAATTTTCATTTTTGGGTGCACGAATACTTTGAGATAACCATATTTCTAGTTGTGTGTATTACTGTAATATCATACATGTAAAAAAATTATCCACTGGTTCACTACAGTGTGAAATCTCAAAACCTGTAAAACATGGAACATGATAACCCAGGATTTTGTTCACCCAAGGTTAATCGTGTGAAAATCTGAAATATGTGTCATTTTTATTCTAACGTAAGACCAGCAGCCAAATCCCCATTATTACTGATACTGCTCTTTTCAGTCTGTCATATTAATGCTCTTTAAACGTACTCTCTCAGGGCTCAACATTACCCAGAACAACATGATCACGGATTCATCAAGTGCGGCAGAGTTCTACGAGGACAACGCTTCACTGCTGTCCTTGGACTCCAGCGTATTCTTCAGCGAGGCCGCACTGCCGAGCGACAAACAGCTGGACTTCTTCATTATAAATGTCGGAGGTAGCCGCTATATCCTCTCTCAGGAACTTTTGGCCTCTCACCCAGAAACTCGCCTGGGCAAGCTGGCCCTCTCCAGTCGAGACTCTGCTTTAGACCTGTGCGACGATGCAGATTTCTTGGAGAACGAGTTCTTCTTTGACCGCAACTCACAGACTTTCCAGTACATTATGAACTTCTACAAGACAGGCCACTTACATGTTCGGGAGGAGCTGTGCGTGATCTCATTCCTTCAGGAGATCGAGTACTGGGGCATCGATGAGCTCCGCATAGACAGTTGCTGCAGGGATAAGTACTACCGCCGGAAGGAGATGAAAGAGATGATGGATATTACCAAGGATGATGAGATAATGGACAACGAGGAGGAGGACTTCACCGGAGCTTTGTGCCAGGGCTTCCGCCAACGGATCTGGGACCTCATGGAGAAGCCGGACTCCTCCAAGGCGGCCAAGACGTTTGGGACGCTGTCCATGTTCTTTTTGGTGGTGTCCATCGTGAACATGGCTTTGATCTCGCTGGAGTTCTCTATACTTGGTGCACCCATCATCTTAGATGTTCTTGAGTACATTTGTATTATTTGGTTCACCGGTGAGCTGGTACTCAGGTTCTTGTGTGTCAGAGATAAGTGTAAGTTCAGCAGGAGTGTGGTGAATATCATTGACCTGCTGGCTATTCTGCCCTTCTATGTGACTCTGGCCGTGGAAAACCTTCATGGAGAGTCTACCGAACTGGAGAACGTTGGACGGGTTGTTCAGGTGCTGCGGCTATTGAGGTCACTCAGGATGCTTAAACTTGGCCGACACTCCACAGGTGATATACTTATTGAAACATATCATTTAATGCTCATACAATACCCGTTCAATGGTTTGGGGTTGGTAAGAATTTTTTTTAGGATTTGAAAGTCTCTTATGCTCACCAAGGATTCATTTATTTGATCAAAAATATAGTAAAAACAGTTATATTGTGAAATATATCCTTCAGAAATCATTCTAATATGCTGATTTGGTAGCCAAGAACTATTACTTATTATTATCATTGACAACCAAGATACTTCAGGATTCTTTGATAAATAGAATTTTCAAAAGAACAGCAATTTTATTGTCACCTTTTGATAATGCATAATGCATACTTGCTAGGGCTATGAAACGATTAATCGCGATTAATCGCATCCAAAATAAAAGTTTGTGTTTACATAATATATGTGTGTAGTGTGTAAAATTATTTTGTATATATAAATACACACACATGCATGTATACATTTAAGAAATATTTGCATCAATTGCATGTATATACTTCATATATATTTATACAAAATTAATATTACACATAAATATAAATATTTGATATATTAATAACACTTTTTTTTTTAAATATATACATGCATATGTGGGTATTTATATATACAAAATAATTATACACACTACACACACATATGTCATGTAAACACAAGCTTTTATTTTGGATGCGATTAATCGAGATTAATCGTTTCACAGCCCTAATGCTTGCCGAATAAGAAAAAGCATTTATTTAAAGATTTATATAACAAAAAAACAAATCTTACGGACCCCAAACTTTTGAAAAGAAGTGCACGTTGTTGTAATTAATTTAAGAAAAAAATACAAACACACTTTGAGGAACAGACTGATATTGATGTCATTTACTGAAAGTATTTAAACATGGTGCATCAGGCACTACACCAGGTTTAGCATTGGTACTCTCAAATCACTTAACTGACCAGTTTGAAAATATGTAACCATAAGTATACAGTATTAAGGCAAGATTTTTATCCAATAAATGCTAAAACTTTAGCCTGCTTCTTACATGAAGCATCATACTTTATTCGATGACATGACATAGAATGTAAGCTAAAGCAAGCAAAAATGACACTGTGTCAACTAAAAAAATTTGGACAAAAATAAATAAATAAATAAAAATTCAACATCATTTACATTTAAAAATGTAAGTTTAACTGCTGCCTTAATTGGAAGTATTGAAGTGGTCATGGAAAGTGGTGTCAATGTCGAAACCTGTACTGAACATTTTGAATTTATTTATTAATGAAGATGAAGAAAACGGAGCTGAAGCTCTGAAAACATAAAACCGAGTAGAAATGGAAGCATTGTGTTTAGACTTTCTGTCAGTCAAACTCTGAACATTTGTGCATTTTAACACAGTCAATCGACTTGTAATGGGCTCTCATGCTGAGGAATGAAATAAGTTATGAAGATGTCAGTCTATTTTGGGGAGAGTGAGTAAATTTATTCATCCATTCATATTTTGACAGTATCCTGTGGAGACTTAGAGGAAGATCCATAAGACAAACAGTTGCCGAGCACAGACTTGTGGGTTTAATCTTTTTTGAAGGAAAGAATCTCTTTCTAAGATGCAGCCACAAAATCATTAATAAATTAAACAACATGACGCAAGAGCTAAAAATGAGGGTAGTTGGGGAATTTGATTGGACTGTGCCTTTTCATGTCATATCAACTTCAATATGGAAATATATTTACAGGGTCTCACCATAATTCTGTTTTTAACACATTTCTAAGCAGACAATATCGGCTCTGTTCTCAAGATAAATATCTGAAGTAACACTGACAGATAATCCACCTAGGGAATGGCAGAGCCTATTTTCATATCCGTCACATTTTAATAATGGGGTCTCTCTTGTCTGCGGCATTCTCTGCCCGTCTGGAGGTGTTTATTCTCAGCAGAAGCTAGACACAGAAGACACAAACCAAACGATGCCGGACGGTCACAATAGCTATACACATAAAAAATTTAACAAACTTGTTAAGACCAAACTGTGACACATTAGCCAAGATATGAATGGAAATGAATAGAAAAATAATTCAAGGTTACGAGTGTTCCCCAGTGTATTTTCATTTTCTCAAAATGGAAACCTAGTTCTTCGCTGGCAGTCATGTTGACTCCAATACCTCAGGACGTGGGTCAAGGACCCATGAAAGCCAGCGTGTTAATAACAAAATACGGTTCTACACAGAAAACGTAGACTAGGTGGTGATTTAGATGCTTGATGTTCTTTCTGTAAATGTATTCAGCAAGGCAGCTAAAAAAAAAATAATAATAAATAAAGCATTTCTCAAGAAGCCGTGCCATTTTGGAGTGAGAAAGTGTAGCATGTGTTCTTAAGTGCCTATATTTAAAGGCTAGAATAGCTTGGATGATTTCATTACGGTTATATTACTTCTTGACTGATACTTTGCGGTAAGATTCACACATCACACACTGGCAGATGCAAATTTAGCCTATGGTGTCATTTTCTTTGCACATGAGAGTTCATTAACATGCAGTGACAATGGCGAATGCACAAAGTTCAATATTACGCTTTTTCAAGAAATCCCAAATTGTATACACTCACAATAAAAACAATACATTGTGCTTTTGTAAAATAAAGAAGAAAAAGAAACAGGATGCTGCTTTTTGCTGTCCCGGGTTCCTTTCCATGAAGTTTGTGGATCATATCACAAAAATGTATCAAAACAGCGTGTAGGCTACTAGTAAGCTTTTGCGTGCTATCTGAACTCTCGTTTTGGGTTGGTGCATAGATTGTCTCTTCTTCTTCTGCTCTTTTTCCTGTTGTGACAATTAGCAAACAGCATTGCATTACAGGGTGCGCCCCCTTCTGGACTGGAGAATAGATTGTCTGTGACTGACTGTATACATCGTTTGTATGCACTGAACTGTGACGTTCGGAACGAATACATGTACATATATATATGTGTTTATGTGTTTACATAATATATTTGTGTGTGCTTTGTAGAATTATTTTGTATATATAAATACACACACATGCATATATATATATATATATGAAGAGTTCAGATGCAAAAGCCTCTAAATGCCATGAATGAATGAAATCTTCTTCTTTAATGATGATTTTTATCAAGCTTGTATATTTAAGTTCAGTGATTTCACTTAAATGGCAATGATAATTACCTTTTAATTGTTATTTAAGTGAAATTACTGAACTGAAATATACAAGTTTGATAAAAATCATCATTAAAGAAGAAGATTTCAAGTGGCATTTAGAGGCTTTTGCATCTGAACTCTTCATATATATATATATATATATATATATATATATATATATATATACAGTATATATGCATATGTATTTATATATATACAAAATAATTATTCACAGCACACACACATATATTATGTAAACACAAACTTTTATTTTGGATGTGATTAATCGCAATTAATCTTTGCACAGCCTTAATATATATATATATATATATATATATATATTAAAAAGAAGTTTTGATGCTGTGGGATCTAACCAAAATAAGCTGACACAATGTACAGATCTCTGAAAGCTAGACCAAGAGCAGCATTACTACATAAAATACAGGCTGACTTTTGAATCTACAATGAAATAGTACTTCTAGAGAGGATATCTAGCCATCCTTTATAGTTTTAACTTGTTGCAAATCTGTTGGACACATTTGCATCTATCACATAGAGAAGAGATTCATGATCTCTGTAGAACTTGTTACACCAGAAATAAAATCATGCGGTCACTGATTCAAATTCTATCAACAGCAACATCTTATATTTTAGTTGGTACAACAGAAGTAATGTTTTGGCATGCAAAATGTTCAGCAATCATTAGCTACACTTCAACTGGTCAGTGGCAAATGGGGTCAAATATGACATTGTTTGAGCATTGTGTTAAAAAAGAGTGACATAATATAACATGCTTAATTCTTTGTTACATAGAGACAAAATCATTACATACCAGAATGATTTTCTTTCCCTAATTAATTGAGAGGCCTCTCCTTGTTCATGTAATTGTTCTAAGGTTAAAAGTAATTAAGTAATTAGGTCCTATCCTCTTGGCGTGCAGTGATAATGTTAAAATTAGGTCTGTAATTTAACACATTTATTTAGGGCACTCAATTATGACAAATATTACAAAATATTAAGAAGTGCTTAAAAATATATCATGCACCTGAAAATCATCCACCTGATACGGAAGTAACACAACCAATTTATTGACGTCTGAAGTTACTTTTTACATTGAATTATTTGCAATTAATTTGATATTTAATCAGAATATTATGAATATATTTGATTGAGCCCTAAAATACAATTTATATTAATCGTTAATTTTAGTTTGACTGACTTCACTTTCACTTTGAAGATACTTTGACAAATGTAACAAGTTTTGGGAAAAATTGACTATGTATGTAAACCATTGAGGAAAGTGTGATAACGTATATCAAGATGTTGGAATTATTTTGTGATACTGTCTGATATTGTAGCATCCACTTTTTGTTACAAAAAAAAAAAAGAAAAAAAAAAAGAAGATACTTTGACGAATATTGGTAACGAAACAGATCCAGTTCCCATTGACTTCCATTGTATGGACAAAAAAATACAGTGGAAGTGAAGGGGAACCAAAACTGTTTGGTTATCAGCATTCTTCCAAATATCTTCTTTCATGTTCAGCAGAAAACATGTAAATATTGTTTGAGTTCTTTCTTTTCTGTGACAAGCGTTTGTGTTAACGGGCCTTTAGATTAATGAACTTTATCTTTACCTTCTTTGTGTGTTCCTCATCAGGTCTGAAGTCTTTGGGCATGACGATCGCCCAGTGCTACGAGGAAGTAGGCCTCCTGATGCTGTTCCTTTCCGTGGGCATCTCCATCTTCGCCACAGTGGAATACGCCATCGAACACGACATGCCGGAGACCACTTTCACCAACGTGCCCAGCGCCTGGTGGTGGGCCACCACGTCCATGACCACAGTGGGGTACGGAGACATCCGTCCAGATACGACACTAGGAAAGGTGATGGCCTTCATCTGTATCCTATCTGGCATTCTCATCCTTTCGCTGCCTATTGCCATTATCAACGAACGTTTCTCTGCCTGCTACTTCACGCTTAAAATGAAGGAAGCGGCGCTGAGGCACGGGGAGGCACTGAAGCGACTGACGCGCAACTCGGCCTCAGATATATCGGCGGTAGGGGTGAACCTGCGGGATGCCTACGCCAGAAGCGTGCTGGAGATGCTGCGGTTGCAGGGCCGAGAGCGAGCCAGTACACGCAGCAGTGCAGGAGATCTCTGGTGGTAATAGAAGGCCTGCAAGCTGCCGGAGAGAGAGAGAGAGAGAGAGAGAGAGAGAGAAAGAGATTTTGTGGTATTATAAGGACCACAAAACGTTTGACATATAAGGAATTAAACGTTTATCATGTATCTGATATCATAAACCTGCATTTAATTGCGATCCTGTAACAATCTAATGCTGCTGTTGCTCATTTTACATACAAATGGGGCGTTTCTTAAAGTCACAATGTATTGGAAGTAGTGACAGATATTAGCTACGTCTAATAACTTAGGCAGCTGACTTGTCTACTTGTCTAGGCAAATCTTCATTTGTGTATGAATATACCCCACGAAACTGATTTCGGACGGTATTCGAGTTATGACATTTTTATTCAAGATCATGAAGTCAGAAATAAATGAAATTTAAAAATGGAATAGTATATACATGCGACTTTCAAGGCAGCAGCAGCAAAAACAGACAAAAATGGGTAGAAAACGGTCATAAAATAAATTATAACTGTTAAGATAAATTGTAAAAAATTATTATAAAGTATATTTTTTCAAATGAACCAAAAACCAAACATAATAAGACTTCCGTGTGCGTGATCTCTGTACCACTATGTGGACAATACTGAATTGCAAAAATAAAGACTTCATTCAAACAGGTTTCCCAAACTGTGCCATTGGTTGGACAAAAGTTAGCCCCACCCCAAACTCACACCATTGGTTGAATCAGTGTTGCTATTCTAATAGCATTCTAATAGCATCATAGAGCCAGGTTTTGACCGAATCAATCTACAAATGACTTTAAGCACATTAATATACATTGAGAAGTATTTTAACGAGAAAATAATCGTCAAAATGATTTTTCAAAATTGCTACATGTCTATTCTGTTTATATTTGTTCAACTCATTTATTGTTGAATACATTTAATAAAATCTGTCTCAATTTTCTCGTTCGGGTACTTATTTGGGTTACATTTACATACTGTAAGAGCAACACTTTTCCATGTGACTTGTTGAACCTTTTAAAATATCACAAATATCCTGAAGATTGCAATACCCTTGTAAGACCAACAGGTCTGCTAAAAGACGCATGGCTTATTTGACACATTGCTCTGTGACAGTTGCAGCTCGACATTCAGAGCTTAAGAGCTTAGAGAGAATCAGTCGCTCCACTAGGCACAGCTAGACAGTAACAATGATTTGCACTGCAGGAATATGTTATTATATGACAAGATATATCAACAAGTAGACATGGATAACAAGCCTTAAATCTACATTTCAGTGAAATTTATGGTTGGAAAACAAGGAATAAACATTCTAATAAACTAATCCTTCTTTGTTTTTTGCAAGAAAAATGTATGATACATTCTTTTTTTGGCTGTCCTGTTGCTTTTCTATGCGAGGAATGGGTGAAAGAGGTTGAATTTTAATGTAAAAATGTATTTTTTTTAATAAATAAATGAAAATCCACCATGTCTGTGGGAAAAAAAAAATTTACCAGGCTTGCTTCCCTAACAAATCCACTGAATCCAAGCTGAATGCTAAATCCACCGCCTGGAGATATGTCGGATTTATGCTATTCCTATCTCTTGTGCCTTCTGAATACTTTCCCAGTGAACAAGAATACCTTCTCTCAATCTCTTATCAAATATCCGACTATGGAAGTGATGTCCTTAAACGGTGCTTTGGGTTCCTCTAACTAACAGCAGATTGCTCATCCTGTTCTCATGATATTTAAGGGACACTGGCTAAAACTCCTGAGCGCTGAAGATATTTAGATGCCTTAAGGAAGTTTAAACAACCATGTAAATGCATCTAAAAATAAGAGATTTTGACAACTATTATTGTTAGTGCAAGATCTAATAGTGTAACAACTCCTGTTGTCCTGGTACTGTCTTCAGTGGATTGTTTTCAGCTAACAAAGGCCTTCAAAAAAAAATTAAGAAACGTCAATCTCATCTTTTAGAGGTTGTCCTAGATTTCAATGAAATGTACAATATATACAAATTTACTTTGACTTTGCATCCTAAGTGAAGTAAGAGTCAGATAAGATCTACGTTTTTAATTTGCTTTATACGAGTATAGAATTTCATTCTTCTAGTGATATAACTACATTCATAAAATTCAAATTGATTTGATTCAAAAGGAAAACAGCACTCTGTGCGCCCTGGTTGAGCTAGTGTGCATTTGAATGTGTTTGATCTAGAAGAGAGCTGTGTCTATTCCCTGGTGACTGACACCTCCCCAACCTGTCTTTCTGGCACCAGACATTGATGCGAGTCCAAGGGGCCCGTGTGTATTTAGAGTGCACTGTCTGTCCTGCTGCATTTGTGAGTGTGTGTACAGTTCTGTGCATGGATGCATGTGTGAGTTGAAAGAAAAGGGATAAAGAGACATAAATTAGATCTCAGGGGAAGTCAATGGTTAAAGTAATGGCAAAGCTGAATTTTCCGCATCATTACTATAGTTTTCAGTGTCACATGATCCTTCAAAAATCGTTCTAATATGCTGATTTGATGATCAAGAAACATTTCTTATTATTATTATAAATGCTGAAAACAGTATTTGCTGCTTAACATTTTTTTGTGGATACCATTCAAACATTTGCTCTAAAACTAAAAAAAGAGAGAAATTAATACTTTTATTTTTGAAGAATGTATTCAATTAAAATATATAATGTAATATAAAATATATTCAAATAGAAAACAGTTATTTTAAACTGTAATAATATTTCAAAATATTACTGGTTGTGCAAGAAAGACTTATTTCAAAAACATTAAAAAAATTGTGACTGGTTTGTTTGTCAAACATAATTTGTTTAATTTGGGAAAGACTTTTTATTACAAAATAATCTTATTGGTATAGTGAATTCTTTACCAAATACATGCATTTAGAAAATATATTGGGTGAATTTTAAAAGAACCTATCCCAGTCTCTACAATATTCTGATCTCTAGATGGCTATACTATACAGACACTTATCAAATGGGTACAAAATCATCCATTCACCTGGTTAATGGTAAATCTTTCCTTTGAAGCCAAGGACACTGGTCAAGCTGTTCTCTTTCGCAGTGAGACCTGAGAGTGGTGATGAAAAATGAGTGCATACTCGTGATTCCAGGAGGTTTCTCACAACTAGGTCAGGGCACCTGGGGAGGGGTAAGGGCCGTTCCTGAGAGACAGACGAGTATTAGCTTAGAAACAGAGACTATAAAAGACCGTTTGTAAAGATATACAATTACTCAATGTTTCACAGTTGATATGGTGAATAGGTTTAATCTAAATCAATATAATCTATACAAAAGGTCCTCATTCATATCAAAATAGTATGGTGACGTCTGACCCTCTTAGATTACCATGCAGATTGAGCAGAATTCTTGAGACGTGACATGAGACTTCTCCAGCCTCTCGTCGGTAAGTCCTATCTGAAACAACTACATCTTGACATTCGGCAATCTAATATAATGTAAAATTATACTCCTGTCTCTATGCATATTGTCCTCACTATTGCCTTTTGATTCACTTTCCTTAATGGCTGAAGATCTTGTTGTCATCGACCCACCGTGTTTGTTAATTGCCCCAATGATCATCCTTAATACTATATGTTGCACTAAAATGGATTTCACATCATCCATGCAGAAGGAAACAAGTGTTTTATGTAGTTCTTCTTGTGCGCCACAGTATTGTGCTCTTTGACTTCTTTAACACCAAACTCCCTCTCTGATATGAACAAGCCCAGGGCAATGTAGTCGGACGCCCCCACGGTGAGGAGAACACACTCTGGTATACTTCACAGGTCTACATTTAAATGTTTAAAATAGTCAATTTTATCCAAAACAACTTAAAAATGTATTTTGTCTATCAATATTTCTATCTATCTATATATCTATCTATCTATCTATCTATCTGTCTGTCTGTCTGTCTGTCTGTCTGTCTGTCTGTCTACCAACCTACCTACCTACCTACCTACCTACCTACCTACCTACCTACCTACCTACCTACCTACCTACCTACCTATCTATCTATCTATCTATCTATCTATCTATCTATCTATCTATCTGCTTTATGTAAGGTCTGTAAAACGAATCTACCATCTATACAAAGGGGGACAACTTTAGGGAGGGACACACCAAACCAACGCCAAAGACCAAACCAACGCCAAAGACGCTGATGAAAGCCGAGCGTGTTGTCGCCTCATGTCGGGACATAAATGCTGAAATTGAACACACCGAGAGAACTACCAAACTATTTTTTTTACTGTAATAAAAAATATTAATTTAAAAATATTTCATTAATTATATATATTTTTTTATATAAAATTAAATAAATGAAATATGTGCAGGCCTAAATACATATTTCTATTTCTGTCATTTCAATTCAAAATCACGTATGTGTTACAATTCAGTTAAAATTCCAACTAATGACTAAATAATTATTGTTTTTTTTAAATACAACTAATAACTAACAACGCATTCTCACCCCAAGGCGTCACCTTTGACCATGCTTCAATATTTGACGTTTTAGGCGCCCTTTAGCGTCACTTACATGACGCGATCCTACGGCGTCATCTAACTGACGCTAAAGGAAAGCGTCAGTTAGAGGACGCGGTTAGGTTTAGGTGTGGGGTGGGGGTAGGGTACACGCGATCCTAGGGCGTCATCTAACTGACGCTAAAGGGCGCCTAAAGCGTCAGATATTGAAGCATGTCCAAATGCTTCCCAAGGCGTCAGTTAGGTGACGCCTTGGGAGTGAGAATGGGCTGGGGGTGGGGGTACGCGATCCTAGTGCGTCATCTAACTGACGCTAAAGGGCGCCTAAAAAGCGTCAGATATTGAAGCATGTCCAAATGCTTCCCACGGCGTCAGTTAGGTGACGCCTTGGGAGTGAGAATGGGCTGTAACTAAAGCAAGCTCATGCTTAAATGTTAGAAACAGTGTTGCAGAAGAACAGCAGCAAAGTCCAAATGGAGGCCAGGTGAATGCCTTAAAGTAAATCCAAGTGGAATGTGCAAGAAAGCCCAAGGCAGACACGTAAACAAATTACAGCTGGGACACATGAGTAGGACAAGGCTACTAGAAGGGTGTGCTTATTATAGCTGTATGAAAAATCTTGAATACCTTAGCATTTGAGATTGTGCAATGACCTTAAAATATGCAAACAAAAAATTCATGCTGGAGAACAGCTAACTTTTCACCCAAAGTGCAAGTCTTTTGGCCTTTCGGATAATTTCACTTTTATAACTTATCTTTTTCAGCTGTACAGTAAAAAAAAAAAAAAAAATCCTTTGATTAAATAATGATTGCCTGAGCACAAGTATTTGATCTCAGACTTCAAACATTTGTCAGTCTTTAAAATGAAAACTGACTTTTGGACATACTAGTTAGTTTAAGCCTTCACAGAAGCACTCAATGCCCAAGGACAGTTTCCAGTGCATGAAATTGTTAAAATATTGCTCCATTTTTTTCATATTTTAAACAGTCTGTCTTACACAGACAGCTAAAATTGGACTGCTGCCTGTAGGGTGAGTGGGAGGAAGCGTTATGCATCTGAAGTCAACCTGTTAGTGCTAATGATTGTCCCTGTCTTATGACAGGACCAATAAACTGAGTTTAGTATCAACTCCTCGTCCAATGACTAGCCTATCCTTGGCCCATCCTTAACATCAGCACATCCAATTTCACAAAAATATTTTTGCAAGACCAGGGAGAAATGGGTTACTGTGACGATCATCTGTTTAAATGTACTATTCACACAGTCATATCTCCAGCACTGCATTAATGCAGAAAGATGCTGTGTATAAGTAAAGCCCTTCAGCAGGACCAGTTTCAATTTAGCAACTCTTTGGTCCTTTTGCAGACCTGTGATGGATGGATTAAACTGCTATCTACAGCACTTCTTGCAACGGTTCAAACATTAGTGCTACTTATGTAGCTCAATAGAAGATCGGCTGATATTTTTTCTCTTTTCTGTGTCAGTGGGAGGAATATGTTATGCCATATTTGAAGCAGAACTGTGTCAGAAACATTTGCTTCAACACCAAAGATTTTTCGTGATACTCTCCACATGTGAAATGTGAATGACGGAACGTTGGATGGTGAATCTGACAGTTTGCTCTCATATTCGGAGAGCAAAGGCAAGCATGTATAGAGTCCATAAAATATTCAACATTTTGAAAGGACAAAAGTAAGTTGAGTATATTTTCTTAGAGACTTAATGTCACATTACTGTAGCTCGGTTCCCAAAATAGTAATGGTAAAATAAGCATAAGATAAACAGCATACACATATTAATGAAGAAGGATGCATTCGGTGCATAAAATATCTCTTGAGCTTTAGGAACAGATTTCCCATCTGTGTTTTTGATGTCTTAAAATAAAGCTCAGCGTTTTAAAAATCTCGAAAAGCCTGTTCCCTGAGAAAACAAAACAAAATGGCATGTTTGAATGTTTGAATGTTTTTTCCCCTCCCAAACAGCATTCATCAAATCATTTTAAAAACCTATCGCTTTACACGCTTATAAATGTGAAGAGTAATCTCAAACTGTATTATCTTGTCAAACACAAATTCTAGCACAAACGTCATGTGATAATCAGCTAAACACATGGTGTGAGGGATTTCACACAGATTTTATATACCTGCCAAAAATGCAGAAGGGAGTCACAAGCTTGAACATGTTTGAAGATGGGATTTTAGGGGGCTGACCATTCATGGATCATCGTGCCAGCCAGAAAAGAGAATGAAATGGGAACGAGAATCAAAAAGAGATGGAAAGTGGAAGCCCATTGGGCTGTGCACTTTTCTCAAAGACTGCAATTGTTTAGGTTGACAAAAGCAGTAATTCACAATTCTTCTTTCAAAACCAAATCTATTGTTTCTCAAGAGATTCCCTTGCAGAAATGTGGCAGTATGGATGATGGTAATATACTTCAAAATACAGGGAAACTAACATTTACTAAATGTATGGATATTATTGTATGATATATAACAAAATATCAGAAAATAGATGTTTATTTTAAAAAAATATTAATGCACACACTAATATAACATTTTAAGCAAAGCATTATATAAACAAGGAAATTTGTTAGGGACCGTTCACAAGCGTTTTCCCATTGCGCTATATTTTTCCATTGTTTTCCAATGTAAATAAGCGCTAGACGGATGTGCTTAACCTTTGCGCTCATATCTCGCTTTTTTTGCAACGTTTCACACGAAATGGCAATTATTCAAATACACAGCACTCAAGTTAAAATTTACGTGCCACTTAACCGTTTAAATAACTTTTTTGTATGTGTTAAGAACATTATAATCATCTAAAGGATATTTTTCCACTTTGAAGAAGCGTTTGTGCATTTGAACTTTTCCATTGATATTAAAGGTTAATTATGGAATCATTGATGTCAATAAAGATGGTACATGTCCAAAACACCCATGTTTAATACCTTGGTAACACCGTTTTATTAAGGGTTGTCTTAAAAATGCATAGTGGTGTAAGTGTACTTATAAACTAATTCAGGATGTACCATTTGCTATTGTTCTGCTCACGGTACAGTCATTAGAGGGCCCGGGTAAAAGGGAAACTCAGTGAAAGAACATGCAAAAAAAAAAATATTTCGTTAAAGTGTTATTAAAGCTTAAGTGCCACATGTGTGTTTGGATCGTGGACAATAGATGACTATTTCATTGAAATATAAATGCAGTTCTTTAGCTGCATTTATTTACAGCAGCTTTTTTGGTCTCATTTTTGTTATTTTCCCAGGTGTACCCTGATGATGAGGTTAATTATCCCAGCTTTTAGCTACTCATAGTCTTTCGAGTTGTTTGTTTATTATGTTTCAACTGCTCACAGGTGTGCCCTGAAGTGGCCCTGTGAACCAGCGGTTATCTGATCAGAGAAAATGGTGCCACACAATGGGCACTAATTAGAGAACAGCAGACTGTGTGTATCTGGGCCTGTGTGTGGTTTGCTTTGAAATCAGTGTCTTCCACACTGTAAAAAATATTTTCAAGATTTTATTATCATAACATATTTTCTTTTGTCAAATCAACTTAATAATAATTTATTTAGTTGAGATAACTTATTATTTTGAGTTTCTGATGGTTAAATTAATCTACTTCATTGTATTAACTCACTTTTTCCAGTTCAATCAACTTAAAATTTTAAGGCAACCCAGGTTACTTACTTTTTTAAGTTAAACCAACAAAAAAATTTACAGTGTAGTAATCACAACATTTTTTTCTTTTGTCAAATCAACTTAAATAATTTCTTTAGTTCAGATAACATATAATTTTGAGTTTCTGATGGTTAAATTAATCTCCTTCATTGTATTAACTCACTTTTTCCAGTTCAATGAACTTAAAATTTTAAGGCAACCAGGTTACTTACTTTTTTAAGTTAAACCATCAATATTTTTTTTCAGTGCACTTTGCACTCAAAATATATTTTTCTGATGTTATAAGTTTTCTGGTAGGTGAAGAAGACGTAATTTAGACACTTTTTTATATCTTAGTGGTTGTTCATATACAGATACATATACATGTATTTTCACTTGGGCAACCACAGAGAACATCCCAGCAACCATCCAGCGCTCACTAGCAACCATATAGCAACACATTAAAAATATTGCTTGCTGCATTTGGCCAACTTGAGTAAAATGTCCAGCTCCATAACACATCATAAGGAGACACCGCATGATCTCAAAAGCGAAACAACTGCCGGTGTGACTCATTCTCGCCTTTAAAGAAAAGAAAATCAGCACTCTTTTGGTTTTGATCTTGGATCCCCTATTTCATCACCGTCACTTTGTGATGTAGGTCAAAATGTAGGACAGAACATAGGGAAAAAAAAAGTTCTTATGTAAGGCTTATGTAGAATTGTTTGAGCCTTGGGTGTTTGTGACATTTGAAGGAACAGCAGAAGCCTCTGGTGGTTTGGGGATTTCAGGTGAGAACTGTATCGTTCCCGTGTGACTTTGAGGATGAGCGGTTTAATTCAGCAGACAATGACAGCTGGTGTGTTATGCAAAGTTAAAAAGCAGCTTCTCTAGTCTAGATTCTCTGAGGTGGAGTAAATTATGCATTATGCTTAACAAAAAATCCTGCTGCAAAATCAAAGCATTGTGATTTGATTTATTTGATCAAATGATTAAGATGATAGTTTACATTGCAAGAAGAATGGATCTTCGGATATATGTACATTTATTTATATAGGCCTACAATAAAAATGTGTTCTTTTAAGAACTGTTCACATGAAGATTCCTTGGGGAATGCGAAATGGTTCGATGCCATTGCTGTGAAATACCCTTCGGAGTTTATTTTTTAAAGAGTATTCTCTCTTTGTTTGTTGTTTCTTACTGGTACCTTGTTCTTCTGAGTAATGTTTATATGACTCCTGAGCTTCTAGCCATATATCAAAAGGTTTATATTCACTAAATTTCACACTGAAGTCAGCCCATTTTTAGTTTTCTACAATACCTTTTTGTATTGCAAGATGGCGCCAATGATCATCTAGTCTAACCTGTGTTAGTATGAAAGAGTGAGACTGACAGGACAGCAACAACGATGAAACACTTCTGGCAACCTGTGTGCTCTTTTATAGTGTTAAAATGTTTTGGTACCAAGAAAGTTGTTCTTTGTTTTTACATTGCACCATTTAACATTATTGTACATCGTTCTTGTAATTGGTGCAGGTCAAAGAATAATGGTAGCATGAATGCTATCTATGTCTGGTAATGTATTCATACTTCACAATGATCGAGAAATAATATTAGTAATATTTGGCCATCCCTGAACCCCTAGTCTTTCCTTTTGGCTTAGTTTATTGTTTACTCACTTTTGTGTTCTGTAAGCAACTGATAAAAAAAAATGCATTCGTGAGGGGTATTTTTATAAATAAAATGTTAGGCCTATTTAATTCATGGAACATATGCTGATTCTTTCATAATTCAATTGATCTCCTAATGCAGCAAACTATGTTTATTTCCCTCAGATTCGCAGACGTTTCCAAAGCTACTGAACGGGTGTAATTTACATTGTGCTGCCATCTGCTGGGCGTTTAGACAACATTCCTCAAAACGGAAGTTCTAACCTCATATGGCAAAAAGAAAGAAAGAAAAGAAAGAAAGTCATAGGGTTTAGCTTGAAGCGATAATAATCCTGCGTTAATAAATTAGTTTGTCATTTATTAACTTCAAATCGCATACCGTGTTCAAAGACCATATCACTACAGATACGTGGTGGTGACTGGTGAGTCAAGTGTGTTCGTTCTTAATCACATGTGGTCTCATTCTTGGACACGTTTTTTTTTTTTTTTACCCCCTTTATGAGTAGGCTATAGTAGCCTATCGGCCAGTATAAAATACATAGTACGCTACTTGAGTTACACACACACCTATATGGGATCCAAAAGTCTAATGGCACAACAATGCATGTATTGACTCAAGTCAAAAGAGTATGCTACCATAGTATTATGGTTAATGGCTATTAACATTGTATTTTTGGACATGTAGCCTACTTTGGTAATGCGTTATTTGAAGTATCTTGTTTCATTCAGTACCATGGCAAATACCAAAGTAGCCTATAATTATCGCCTGATGTCACCATTTTCAAACCAGAAATGATTACAAGAATAGACAACTAAAATGACCTTATGCAAAAAACACACCATGTTTATTAGACACCAAATTCTCTGAACAATCAGAGTTATTAAAAACACTTCGTTGCGAAGCATACGCTGAGTTTACACAGAGTGAAAACAAAAAAACAAACACGAGAACTCCACATTGGAATCAAAATACACCGCAGTGTCAGTGTGTTGCCCTCAGTGATCACATCCCCTCCACGTGCATGTGGGTTTGATCTCAGTGTCTCTTGAGAAGGAGTGTTGGCCTTGCTCCTCACATAGAAAGTGACAGAGGACACATGGGCCCTCCCGAGACGCACACAGGGCCAGTTTGAAAACAAAATAGCGATATGTAGCTATCCAAATATAGTTTGATGAGTAAACAAAAAGTGTGACCCGTTGCCTGATCTAGGCGAGGACTGCAAATCAGCAGCCTGACCACATCTAAGTTACACTTGTAAACAAAGCAGTTGAGCAGTTCTCGGTTGCTACTGACACAAAGTGCTGAACTCCAGCAAACCAAAACAAGATGCACCATTCTAGGACAAACCAACCAGAGGCCAGTCAATACTATTATAAAATGCTATAAACCACTAGATTTTTTGCATCACATTTGCATTTCGATTCAAACACTGAGAGAAACAATATAGAAAATGACTAAATAAGGAGGGTCACATTGCAAAACAGTCCACATTTCCACCTCAGTAATATACAATAGAAAAATTATAAGGGTGTGATATCAAAGTTTGTAAAACCAACGTATGACAACGAGCTGGCTGCCCCATAATCTGAAAACGTGACGACGTCCATGCATCTGCGGGCTCGTGAACTCAGTCTACAGGTTTGGGGATGTCGTTCTCCGGTGGTTCCGAGGGAAACTGGAGTCGTCTGACCGCTTCTTTGATCAGATTCCCCGACAGTATGAGTTCCTGGAGGAGCTGGTGTGGATCGTCCTCGTCGATTTTCTTTCTGTTCCACGATGATTTGAAATGGTCCCATTCCTGATCGCTGGATCCGGGCGGGTTGTACGGACTGGCCCGGCTGGACCGTAAACTCCGGCTACGAAGACGGATGCACCGTTGACTGCCCGCCGCGCTGCTGCTGCTGTTGTTGTTGTTGCTGCTGCTGCCATGACCGTGGAAACGTGACATCGCCTTCTGACTCGAGCTATTGTTGTGAAGCTGAAGCGCCTCGCCGATTTTCGACACGAGAGCGTCTACTTCCTTAGAGTCCACCGTTACCGACTGTTCCAAAAAGATATAATTCTCCTTTCGACAAGGCATTTTGAATATATCTTTAGGTACTATAATATCCAGTCGTGATAATTGTTTTTATTCAAACGGATAGGATCGTTTACCCGGCGTCCGCCACGCTCACGCTGCTCAACAGAAACAGCTCAAGGGTTGATTTGTAAACAATGGATGACGCTGAATCCGGCACGTACCATTTTGAAGGATGGGGGCGCACGCTCAGTTTTAACATCTAAACACGTTTTATTTTGTAGTTAAAACTTTTAGAGAGATTTTATACGTTTCAGATTCAACATAAATATAATTTCCGATCGGTTTAGCATTCGTGGTGGTTATATTTATTTTGGCACCGCCAAACGTATCTGCGGAACTCTGTATCATAAATCATTGCATTACATAACCGAGTACATAAAAAAAACGAATCACTAGACAGCCACATGCGAACTCTATGCACTCTTGTGCTGGTGCAGTTGAATGTGACATTTAAGTAAGTTAGATGAACTTGATTTCTAAGAAGGCTATGAATTAAAGCAACAATATGCCATCCATTAATATTTCTTCATAACTTCATTTCCATATTTGTAACTGAGGGGAGGAGTCGAAGAACTGTTCTTGTGTGGCACGTGCCACACGGTTAGAAATCGAGGGAACCTTAAAATAGGCCTACAGTTGCATCAGGATTTTTCTTACTGTGGGAACTAAATATATTCAGTATTATTTTTCGCATATTTATAATGTTAGTTTTTCACAGTATGCATAGGGTCTTTGCAGTTATTACAATGCACTTATAATAGTTGAATTTTGCATTTTAGAATGGGGGTCTCTTGAATAAGAATGATCATTTTTGGGGGTCACTGGCATCTTGAGGTGATGATACACAGGGCAACTTTTTGAACAATGTTGCCAAGCGATTGTTCCTTGGGCACTTTCCCATTGAGAATTTGCAACACATTTCTATCTGAATAATTTAGATCGCTCGTGTTTTACATGGTTTCCTGTTGACAGCAACATTGCCCAGAAACATTGCTTAAAAAGTTTCCCAGTGTATCGTCACCTTGAACGGCCTTTGCCTAGACAGACTTAGCAAGGGTCAAGATTTTGTTGGTTAGCATGGTTGTGTTATCTCCTGTTGGTAGACAACATCTGACTGCAAATAGCAAGAAGGCCCTCAATAATGTTCTTTGGGTGTGTCGTGCGTACTCAGTATTTTCAGTCATCCCAGCATTAAAGGTGTGTGCGGTCTAAATGGAACTGTGTCAAAAATCTTAATAACTGGGCTATTATGCAGACATTCGACTGACTCATTACAGCAGTTAATTGTTGCAGTATATTTCATCCATCTGAATCATCCAGATTAAATAAATGGTTCCTCCTAAAATCAAAATACTTCATAATTTACTTACCTAAGAAACAGGCCAAAATTTACATAATTAAAGAATAATTCACTTCAAAATGAGAATTCTGTGATAATTAAAGGGATAGTTCACCCAAAAATGAAAATTAGCCCATGATTTATTTACCTTCAAGTCATCCAAGTGTATATGACATTCTTCTTTCAGATGAATAAAATCAGTTTACGCTATGCTATTAGTTTACGCATAATTCACGCTATGCCATGACGCACTTTGCTACTTCCAACGTCACAAGTTGCATAAGTTGCGCTAGGCATAAATAGACTGCATTTGGCTGGAAGCTAGAATTTCAATTTGTAACGTGTTAAATATGAATATTTTTCGAACACAAACTCCTCGCTTTGCTTCGGAAGGCCTTTGTTAACGCCCCAGAGCCATGTGGAGCACTTTTAATGATGGATAGATGCACTTTTATTGGCCTCTCACTGCCATTATAAAGCTAGGAAGAGCCAGGACAATTTTTTTATATAACCCCGATTGTATTCGCCTAAAAGAAGAATGTCATATACACCTAGGATGACTTGAGGCTAAATTTATTTTTGGGTACCATCCCTTTAACTCACCCTAAAGTTGTTTCAAACCTGTATGAATTTCTTTCGTCTGCTGAACACGATATTTAGAAGAATGTCAGTAGACAGTTGATGTACTCCATTGACTTGGGGGAAAAAAAATAGTGGTATAATAATTTTGAAGTGAACTAATCCATTAATTATTCTTGACATCCACCCTAGCACTCTTTGAACAAATAGATTTTATTGAGTCAGATCTTTTCAATGATTTGGTTCACACAACCGGTCTGAACGATCTGTTTACAAATCTGATTGATCCGGTTCTCTGAGTCAACTTTATCACAGCGGTTAGAAGATTATCAGTGAATGATGATGTTAATCTATCAAGACAATATAAAATATACTCATATGGCCTACTTTTATGATACTTTCACAATGTTTTTGTGTCTTTGAAAGCATCTGAACCCATAAATAATGTGGAATTATTTCAACATGCTTAACCATGATCAAAATGTGAATTGGTGTTTCTTTATAATCTGCTCTGGCACTTTCTGTTCTGTGTCAGTCTAACCACGTCCTCTTTCACAGTTCTTAGAAACTGTTGTGAACTATTTTAACTACATTTGGTTGCATTTTGCACCAAACCATGCAGTTATTTTCTAATAAATCAAGTGGTTAATAAAGTATCCTTGTCTGTTCCCAGACCTAGTCTGCAAATTTTGGCTATTCACCCCAAACATTTGCATCATTTTGTTTGGTCATTGCACTGAATATGCTATTAATGAGATGAGTTCATAAACATTAATGAACTAACATTGTTTAAATCAAGTATAAATCTGATCATTTTTGCTGACAGTTTGCAAGAAAAGAAGAACATACTTGCATATCACATTACCCACCCTTTAGGATCACTGAGGGGTTTGGTCAACCAGTGTTTACAGCCTGTATTACATAACACTTAGGGAAGGGGTGTGTGTGGATAGAGAAGGAAGAGAGTGTTATTGATCATATACAATGTAACATTAGTATGATGACCAGAGCTGTTTGATCTGATTTATGTAGTTTCAGTGAATCTAGGGGTCGTATCGTCTGTTTAAACTATTATTCAGGTGTTTGAGCAAATTATTATGCATCTGGTTTCACCATTTGATATTGTATGTGCACAGATTGTGGCCGAACATCCACAGCAGCTTTCCTTGTTTACCTCACAGCAGGAGAACAGTCTTAAGCACACACTGCCTTTGTTAAAGTATCAAACACAGACTACTGGTGTGCCGTTGCTCACCGTCTCAGTCATCAGTGTGCCCACAGGGACCTGGTTTCTCAGAATTCACCTTACCGAGAACCCACTGTGCCATGTGGCCTTTGTGATAAAAGAGGTCTAGGGTCATTCTTTTTTATTCAAACACTTTAGTTTACTATGTGGTAAGAGTAAATATTGAAATAGTTGTCTGATCATGTGCATAGAGTTCAGTCACAGATTGATTGATGCTATTATTAGTGATTATTTAGTCACTACTGCTTATATTACGGTTAAACTTTAACCTTATAGATCTTTATTGGTGCTACAGACATTAATATCTCAAATTGTGTAGATTTACTTTTCAAAGCATCAGGGAGGAACTGAAATACACCAGACTTGCTCTTTGACTTTGACGTTAAAAAAACAACACCCTGGCAAATACATTAGCATTGCAGCAGCAACTTTAAGAAACTTCATTGCTTCAGAACATGTCTTTTGTAATTTATGTGCTTTTGTTATGTTCATAAACTTTGAAATTAAAAATATTGTTGCAGTTCATGTTGCAAAAACCTACAAGCAACTGTAAAAAAGATGCTGCCTTATAACTTCAAAAAAGTTCAAATTTGCTTAATTTGATAAGTAAAAGCAATGTAAAAACATGTTGTCATAACATTGATCATATCATTTTTTTATAGTGTATGAACTAAAAAATATCTCCTTTATCTACTTTAATAGAATATATCTGTACAGATTTTCAAAAGATTTTTTAATTACACTACTTTCAAATTATATTTATTAGGAGAACTGCTGATTTGAATTTTATATTACTCCAATAGTAAATGTCATAAAATGTAAATATTTTCCAGATATAATTTGAACAATTTGCTTTGGCTTCAATACAGTAACACTATAAAAGTAAATTATTTAATTTAGTATATTTGCACCTCTTTTTTTACAGTATGGATTTTTGTGCAAAAAAATGCTTTTTATTTTAAGCAGGGGTCCCTTGCAAGTCATTATGTTTGCTGGACCTTATAGTATCAAAAAGTTTGAAAACCTGTATACATCTAAATAAAATATGTGTTATTAATGGAGAGGTAATACAATGTAATCTCCTCCTCCATGCAATACTATCATGAAAGTTGTAAAAATTGCCCTTTCTCTTTTGGACAGTCCTAGATTTGTTTCTCAGAAAAGAAGAACAGGCCTGTCGTTTTTTTTTTGGACAAGTTAGTCCTTGAAATTTATACAGATGGGGATCATGGGTTATTTGTTGTGGGAGAAGCCAGTTAACAGAAAAACTTAACACAGATCCATGATGTGCAGAAGGAAGACCTCTGTCTGTTTGACGATTCGAAATGTCTGGTTTCAAATGAAGGGTTGAGGGATTCTGGGTATTTCTAAGTGTTCTGTGCTTTGTTTTTAAATGGAAGCATACAACAAATCAGGGCCAAGTAACCAAGGAGATAATCCATAAGCAAGTGAATGCGTAAACACGGCAGTGAAAGGCAGAGAGCCTCTCCCTGCTGATTTACTGCCCTGTCCTAAAGGGAGAAGCTTTATTGCTTAATTCTTCCTGCAAATAGTCTAATATCCAGAAATAAGTGTATGGACATTAATAGTTTGTTATTTTTAAGATTAAATGGTAACATTATTATGAATTGCAAATGACTAAATTCTAAACTTTGTGATAAGTTTAATGCAGAGCTTAAAAATATTGTTCTTTATACTTAACAAATACCATTAAAAAAACATGTCGTTTAAGACATTTATCCTGAATTTTTTTGGAATTAAGGTTTATTTAACATTTTTAAACTATTCTACCTTTCGTTCTATTGTACATCATTTGAAGGCCAAAATGTTTCTTTTTACATTGACCATCACAAACAAAGTTGGCAGATTTCGAATCGCATACTTCTGTGGGGTCCTGGGCTAAGCAGTTGCTTTAATGATGAATATGAATGCAAACACATTGCTCTCTCAAAGTTTTAAG